AAAAAAAAAAAAAAAAAAAAAGAACTAATATCATTTCTACTGAAACTATTCCAAAACATAGAGGAGGAAGGAATATTACCAGACTCATTCTCTGAGGCCAATATTACTGTGATACCAAAACCAGACAAAACACATCAAAAATTTGACTAGAAACTTAAATCTAAGACCTCAAACAACAAACTGCTACAAAAAACCATTAGGAAAAATCTCCAGGACATTGGTCTGCAAAGATTTCTTGAGTAATACCCTAGAAGCATAGGCAACCAAAGCAAACATGGACAAACAGGATCACATCAAGTTAAAAAGCTTCTGCACAGCAAAGGCAGCAATAGGAGGCTGCACCCCTCAGCTGGATTTAGACAGAAGGAGGACCGCTGGGCTGGAAGCTCTAGCAGACATGGCCTGTCTGGCTAGGTGAGGTGGTAGTGGGTGGAGTCACCCACCCTGCCTTCAGAGTGTTTCCCAGGGCACCAGGAGTTTGCCTCTGCTGGTTGAGTTTAGACAGAAGCAGTACTGCTAGCAGACGTTGCCTGCCTGGCAACCAGTGGCAGGGGTGCGCAGAATCACCCCCACTGCTGTCCAGGTGGGGAACCTGAACAAAATAACCTGAAGGACAGTTTCATGGCAAGTATAAAAACTACATGGCATGCTTTTTAATCTATTAAGAGAAAAGGTAGGAAAGCTTGCTTGGGTAAAAGACAAGATAGTAGGTCGGGCATGATGGCTCATGCCTATAATCCCAGCATTTTGGGAGGGCGAGGTGGGCAGATCACTTGAGGTCAGGAGTTTGAGACCAGCCTGGCTAATGTGGCAAAACCCTAGCTCTACTAAAAATATGAAAATTAGCTGGGTATGGTGGCACACGCCTGTAATCCCAGCTACTCAGGAGGCTGAGACAAAAGAATTGCTTGAATGTGGGAGATGAATGTTGCAGTGAGTCAAGATCATACCACTGCACTCCTGGGCTACAAAGTGAGACTCCATAAAAAAAAAAGATAGTAAATGTTTTAGTGTTTGTAGGCCATAGGGTCTCTGTTGTAAGTATTCAGGTCTGCCCTCATAGCCTGAAGGCAGCCATGGACATAAATAAGTGGGCATGGCTGTATTCCAATAAAACTATACTCAGGAACAATAAATTTTAAATGTTATTTTCACATGCATAAAATATTATTTTTCTTTTGATTTTTTTCCAACCATTTAAAAATGTAACAATCATTCTTAACTCACAGGCTGTACAAAAACAGGTGGCTGGCTTGGGTTGGCAAACTAGTTGACCAGAGTTTACCAACACTTTGGTCAGGAGTATAACATTAAAATGAAACTTGTTAGAGGTATCAAGGATAAGGGTACAATTTTTAGTCTGGCTTTTCAAGAGGATTTAGCTACACGCGTGGTAACAGAGCCATGAAAACCAGGAGGTTCTGGAGAATGTGGCATCTAGAAGAGCAAAACCCTCCTGTGGCACCTCAGACAGGCACATTCTCAGCAGGGAGGGCCATGGCCGTAACCCTCGATGGTCATCCTGAGGCTTGTAGGTTTTCACATTGCTGGAAATGTTCCCACAGGAGACAGGAAAAGCAGGTCTATAGATAATTACTTCAGAGGTGGAGTAGCTGTCTGAATACCACACCCTCACCAGTCTCACCAGTGCTAACTGTGTGAATTGGCCCCACTCTCCCCAGATTTCCTCAGCACACCTGCAGATGCAGGACAGGTAACCTTGAACTTTGGAGCCCCAGCAGGTTTCTAGAATGGCCAGGGCTTCATCCCTGGATGCAGGATGAGTCACCTGCATCCTCTCTAAAATTCACCTAAAAGACCAGACACAGTGGCTTACGCCTGTAATCCCAGCACTTTGGGAGGCCAAGATGAGTGGATCACTTGAAGTCCGGAGTTTGAGACCAGCATGGCCAACATGGTAGAAATGAAAATACAAAAATTAGCAAGGCATGATGGCAGATGCCTGTAATCCCAGCTACTCAGGAGGCTGACACAAGAGAATCACTTGAACCTGGGAGACAGAGGTTGCAGTGAGCTGAGATCATGCCGCTGCACTCCAGCCTGGGTAACAAGAGTGAAACTCTGTCTCAAAAAAATAAATACAATACAATTCACCTAAGGAGAGAAGGAAGAGGCACTCAAAATATTGTGAAGAACAGAAGTTGTGACTGTTGTTCTATTTGGAGTCTGACTAAGACAGGAGCCTGAGGTCTGTCCCTAGGAAACAATCACATACATGAGCTCTGCTCCTCACAGGTCAGGAGGCATCTTCCATCTGTCTCAGGTTGGGCTTGCCCAGAAGCCTGAGACCGGATTTGCTTGCAGGTGGTTTATTGGGGCAGTGACTACTGACAAACATCAACAGGAGAAAGAAGTAAGGCAGGGAAGCCCAAGAAAGGTAGATTATGGAGCAGGTTACCTTACGAGCAACTGAGGTTCCATGCTGCTGCGGATGTCTGGGAGACAGAACATGCCTGAGTGTTATCTGCCCTGGGGGTGAGGGACCCCCATCTGTTGTCCACTAAGGGCATCTTCTGGACTGCAGTACTATCCCCCAGTATTTCTGGCCCTCCTGGCTGACAGGCAGAGAAAAAGCCCTCAGACAGATAACCAAAGCTGCTGCCAAGGGGCAGGTACTGCAACAGCGGGTGCTCAGGGGATGCTGTCAGCATCTGCTACATACTCCACTATCTCCTCCACTCCTCCGTGACCTCCTACAACCCCCAGCTTATGGATGAGAAAACTGAGGCTCATAGGAGCTAATGGCCAGCATCATGAGCTTAGTGAGGACAGAGAGTTATGTCTGTTTTGTTCACTCTTTATCCCCAGCCCCCTACAGCAGCACCTGGCACATAGTAAGCACTTAATAAATATTCAGTGATGAAAAGTCATTCAGGGAGTATGACTTGGTTGAGTCAAGACTTGAACTGGGATCTTCTACCCCAAAGCACATGTTCCTTCTACCACATGGCAAGAACATACCAGTGTTTGCAGCCAGTGTAGTGTGTGGCTTGGAGTAGGTGCCTAAAACAGTTTTTAATTAATCTATTCTCTATCTTTATGTTCCTTCTTTCCCTCCCTTAGGAATCAGAGAAAGAGACCAGAGCCTGTGGAGGGGGAGCCCCTGTTCCACATGGTCCTGGAAAAATGAGGATTTGAACCAAAAATTTACACAGCTGCTACTTCTACAAAGGCCTCACCCCAGAAGCCATGAGTGCCTGGTCAGGGGAAGATTGCTTCATAATGTGGAGGAGGATCAAGGACATTTAATTGAGATCGGAGACTTATTTGGCCCAGGCCTAGATACCCAGGAACCTCGCGTAGTCATACTGCAGGGGGCTGCTGGAATTGGGAAGTCAACACTGGCCAGGTGGGTGAGGGAGGCCTGGGGGAGAGGCCAGCTGTATAGGGATTGCTTCCAACATGTCTTCTACTTCAGCTGCAGAGAGCTGGCCCAGTCCAAGGTGCTGAGTCTTGCTGAGCTCATTGGAAAAGACTGGACAGCCACTCAGGCTCCCATTAGACAGATCCTGTCTAGGCCAGAGCGGCTACTCTTCATCCTCGATGGTGTGGATGAACCAAAATGGGTCTTGGAGGAGCAGAGTCCCGAACTCTGTCTGCACTGGAGCCAGCCGCAGCCAGCGGATGCACTGCTGGGCAGTTTGCTGGGGAAAAGCATACTTCCCAAGGCATCCTTCCTGATCACTGCTCGGACCACAGCTCTGCAGAGTCTCATTCCTTCTTTGGAGCAGGCACGTTGGGTAGAGGTCCTGGGGTTCTCTGAGTCCAGCAGGAAGGAGTATTTCTATAAATATTTCACAAATGAAAGGCAAGCAAGTAGAGCCGTTAGGTTGGTCAAATCAAACAAAGAACTCTGGGCCCTGTGTCTCGTGCCCTGGGTGTCCTGGCTGGCCTGCACTTGCCTGATGCAGCAGATGAAGCAGAAGGAAGAACTCACACTGACCTCCAAGACCACCACGACCCTCTGTCTGCATTACTTTTCCCAGACTCTCCAAGCTCAGCCATTGGGGTCCCAGCTCCGGGGCTTCTGCTCCCTGGCTGCTGAGGGCATCTGGCAAAGAAAGACCCTTTTCAGTCCAGATGACCTCAAGAAGCATGGGTTAGATGGGGCCATCATCTCCTCCCTCTTGAAGATGGGTATTCTTCAAGAGCACCCCATCCCTCTGAGCTACAGCTTCATTCACCTCTGTTTCCAGGAGTTCTTTGCAGGAATGTCCTGTGCCTTGGAGGATAAGAAGGAGGGAAGTGAACATTCTAATCACATCATGGGTTTGGGAAAGTTGCTAGAAACATATGGAACACATGACCTGTTCAGGGCACCAACCACACGTTTCCTACTGGGCCTGTTAAGTGAACAGGGGGCAAGAGAGATGGAGAACATCTTCGACTGCCGGCTGTCTCAGGAGAGGAAGAGGAGGCTTCTGCAGTGCACCCAGTTCCTGCAGCCCCCACTGCAGTCATACCCTCTGGAGTTCCTCCACTGTTTGTACGAGACTCAGGGCAAAAGGTTCCTGACACAAATGATGGCCCATTTCCAAGAAGTGTGCATGTGTGTGGAAACAGACATGGAGCTCCTGGTGTGCACTTTCTGCATTAAATTCTGCCACAACGTGAAGAAGCTTCAACTGATTGAGGGCAGGCAGCATGGACCAGCATGGAGCCTTGACAGGGTAGTCCTGTGAGTACTCTACCCACCGTGTCTCCGGCTCCTCTGTCAGTCCATAAGCCTAAGTGTCCTGAGCATCAGAGGCACGCTCACTGAGCCTGGTTGGGGGCAGGGGTGGCTAAAGAATCAGGATCGCCAGTGACATCTAACTGCCCAATCTGACCACCATGCTCTGTCCACCTAAGCTCCTCTGTAGTGTCCAACTGTAGGGCAGACTCTGCTTGCTTCTGGAGAGGACGCTGGGCCCCGCCTTATGCTGCTACCTCTTCTCCTACCCTTAGAATGACTGCCCATCTTCTCTCCTGGACCTGTTCCCAGCTTCCAGCTGACCTTAGCTACCCCTACACTCCCCAAGGATCAGGCAGCCCCCCCACCCCTGCTCCTCTCTCTGGCCATTCATTCTCTCAAAGAAATTGCTCCTCCAGCTGCTTCAGAAACCCTCTCGATGACAACGACATTGGCCCTGAGATCTTCCCCATCAGCTCTCAAAAGGAGTTTCCTGACCAGGCACTGTGGCTCATACCTGTAATCTCAGCACTTTGGGAGGCTGAGGCAGGCAGATCACGAGGTCAAGGGATCGAGGCCATCTTGGCCAACATGGTGAAACTCCATCTCTACTAAAAATACAAAAATTATCCAGGTGTGGTTGTGGGCACCTGTAGTCCCACCTACTCAGGAGGCTGCGGCAGGAGAATTGCTTGAACCCGGGAGCTGAGATTGCGCCATTGCACTCCAGCCTGGGTGACAGTGACTCTCTCAAAAAAAAAAAAAAAAAAAGTTTGCTATTTTTCCCTGCAAAACTGACTTCATAATTCTTTGTGACTGTGGTGCCACTGTTGCCCCAGGCACTCAGCATGAAACCCACTCTCTGGTTTCGCAAGAGCAGCTTCCTCTAGGCATTCTCCAGCCCAGCAACACTCAGAACTTCCCCATCCCAGTTCCCCAACCTCTGCCACAGTATAGATCACATGGTATTGGTATGTGTTTGTGTCCTACTTTAAATAATTCATTCCACATTTATTAAGCACTGATTCTTTGCCAGGCCCTACAGATCACAGATTAAAAAGCACAATCCTGGCCGGGCATGGTGGCCCACACCTAGAATCCCAGCACTTTAGGAGGCCAAGGTGGGAGGATCACAAGATCAAGAGATTGAGACCATCCTGGCCAACATGGTGAAACCCCGTGTCTACTAAAAATACAAAAATTAGCCAGACATAGTGGCAGGCACCTGTAATTCCAGCTACTCGGGAGGCTGAGGAAGGAAATCACTTGAATGTGGGAGGCGGAGGTTGCAGTGAGCCAAGATTGTGCCATTGCACTCCAGCCTAGATGACAAGAGCAAGATTCCATCTCAATAAATAAATAAAAAGTAAATAAAAATGCAAAACTTAGCTGGGCATGGTGGCTCATGCCTATAGTTCCAGCTATTCCAGAGGCTGAGGCAGGAGAATTGCTTGAAGGTTGTAATAAGCTGAACTCCTGCCACTGCACTCCAGCCTGGCAACAGAGCAAGACTCCATCTCAGAAACAGAAACAAAAACACACCAAAAAAGAGCACAATCCCTGCCCTCAGGAGCTCAAAAAATAGGGGAGAAGACAAACATTCATTTAATACTGACAACAGGGTGTGATGCCTACAACAGTAGAGCTATGGACAAGGTACTGTGGTGTGGCCCAAGGAAGGGAATGGTCACATGAGTGGACAAAAAAAAAAAAGATTCTCAGAGCGAGAAATATTTGATGTGGGTCTTTATATTCATATTTTTTAAACTTTTTCTCACAATACTCATGTTTGTTAAAATATATATTTTTTTATTTTTTTTTTTTTTTTGAGACAGAATCATGCTCTGTCACCCAGGCTAGAGTGCAGTGGCGCGCCTTTCACTCACTGCAACCTTTGCCTCTCGAGTTCAAGCAATTCTTGTTCCTCAGCCTCCCAAGCAGCTGGGATTACAGGTGTGCGCCACCACAGCCAGCTAATTTTTTTTGTCTTTTTAATAGAAATGGGGTTTCACCACTTTGGCCAGGCTGGTCTCGAATTCCTGACCTCAAATGATCCGCATGCCTCAACCTTCCAATGTGCTAGGATTATAGGCATAAGCCACCATGCCTGGCCCTTTTTATATTTTTAAGTAGTCTGATACAACACCATTTTTGAATGACCACATGCTATTCCATAGGGAAGTGCCATGGCTGATTTGACTATTCTCCTATTCTTGGCCATTGTAAGCTGTTTCTAGTTGTTCATAATTATAAATGTGACGTAGGCCATAAAGGATGTGGATACAGATATTCCAAGTGGCAGTGGACCAATGGGAGACGTTCAGAAGAGTTTCAAGCAGCCAGAGGCAGAGGCCAGATGGTGGCTGGCCGGGGGTGGGTACTGGGATGGGTAAGGGGAACCAGGAACACCAGACCAGAGAAGACAGTTTGGGATAGGCGGGAGCAAGTAGAGCCTTAAAGAGAATTCCATGGGAAAGTCAGAGGATTCAGCCACAAGTGGGAGGGGAAATTTTAAAGGAAGTGAGTCAGCTAGGCAAGGCAGAGAGAAAAGTAAGGAGGCTACTATAAACAAAGTGAAAGTTCAGGAAGAAAGGGTGGAGATTGGCCAAGGGCTGTGGGAAGGGAAAGGAGAACCAACCAGAGATATTAAGGAAATGAAGATGGCAGGATGAGAGGTTTCAGGTTGTGATTAAGCATTTTCAATATAAACTTAATTTTTTTCCAGTCCTCTTGAATAAAGATGGCAAATGCTGACAGAAATAAAAAATTTTAAATGTATTTTTCAAGTTTCATAAAACTAAGCAAGTGTAAAAGAAATTCAAATAAACCTTCATTTATGGCTTTTTTTTTTTTTTTTTTGGTTTTGAGATAAGTCTCACCCTTGTTGCCCTGGCTAGAGGGCAATGGCACAATCTCTGCTCACTGCAACCCCCACCCCCTGGGTTCAAGCGATTCTCCTGGCTCAGCCTCCCAAGTAGCTGGGATTACAGGCGCCTGTTACCACCTCCGGCTGTCTAATTTTTGTATTTTTAGTAGAGATGGGGTTTCACCGTGTTGGCCAGGCTGGTCTCGAACCCCTGAACTCAGGTGATCCGCCCGCCTCAGCCTCCCAAAGTGCTGGGATTACAAGCATGAGCTACCGCATCCAGCCTCATTTATGGCTTTTTTTCTTCTCCGTGTGTGTGTGTGTGTGTGTGTGTGTGTGTGTGTGTGTGTGTGATGGAATCTCGCTGTGTCTCCTAGGAATAGTGCAGTGGCATGACCATACCTCACTGTGCAACATTGGCCTTCCAGGTTCAAGCCATTCTCCCACCTCAGGCTCCTGAGTAGCTGGGACTACAGGTGCACACCACCACACTGGCTATGTTTTTTTTTTTTAATTTTTTGTGGAAACAGGATCTTACTATGTTGCCCAGGCTGGTCTCAAACTCCTGAGCTCAGTCAATCTTCCTGCCTCTACCTCCTAAAGTACTGGGATTATAGGCATGAGCCACTGCACTCAGCTGGCTTTTTCTATATGTTTGTAGTACTTGTACTTCCACAATTATTAAAACTTAAACTGCTCTAGGACTTTTGGGTTACTCTGTAGTAGTTGTTAATCCTCACACACCCCTCTGCAGCAGATGCTATTGCTGTCCTGTTTTTACAGCCAAGGAGACAGAGTGAGGCACAGAGATGCAGAGCCCATGTGCAGGCAGCTCCTTGCCTCTGCTCCTTGCCCCCGCACAGCAAGAGGCCACGACCTATACTGAGCACCAAAAAAAAAAAAAAAAAAGACAAGTGTCTGTGTCTGCCCTCAAGGAACTCTCAGACTGAGGGAGAAACAGACACACAAAGTGAACACTTCAGTGTCCTATGGTAAGGGCTGTAGAATGAGGAGTCACATGGAGGAGAGGGATCTAGCCCTGGGTGACAAGAGCAGATAGGGAGGCTGGTCAGTACTGGGGATGGCACTGCCTGCTGTGGTCTGGTGCTCAGGGGGACAGAGCTCAACTGTGTTGTGCAGGGCTGGGTACCTCCAACCCCCCCACACACACAACACATCTCTCCTGTCCTCCTCTCTCTCCCTCAGGTTCAGGTGGGTCCCAGCCACAGATGCCTATTGGCAGATTCTCTTCTCCGTTCTCAAGGTCACCGGAAGCCTGAAGGAGCTGGACCTAAGTGGAAACTTGCTTAGCCTCTCTGCAGTGCAGAGTCTTTGTGAGACCCTGAGATACCCTCGCTGCCTCCTGGAGACCCTGCGGTGAGTCTGGCCTGGGTTCTGTTCTGAAGCAAGGATAAGGAGGAGATCCAAGGCAGAAACTGAGTCTGGCCTGAGGGATTTGCCTTTGAATTCATCAGATATTCGTTGAGGCCCTCTCTGGCCAGTGTGACTTTGCTAAACAAACACAGACAGGATGTTTTCCTCACACACACACACAAAATTATCTCATAAAGTGAGGCTTGAGGGAGGTCTGAAGAATACAGAGGATTGAACTAAGTGAAGCAGGAGGGAAAAGACATGGTGGGCCAGACATGGTGTCTCATGCCTATAATCCCAAAGGTCTGGAAGGCCAAGGCAGGACAATTGCCTTAGGTCAGGAGTTTAAGACCAGCCTGGGAAACACAGAGAGACCCTGTCCCTACAAAAACATAAAATAAAAAATTAGTTGAGAATGATGATATGTGCCTGTTGTCCTAGCTACTTGGGAGGCTGAGGTGGAGGATTCACTTGAGCCCAGGAGCTCGATAGTACAGTGAGATATGATTATGCCACTGCACTCGAAGCTGGGCAACAGAGACAGACTTTATCTCTAAAAAAAATACTCAAAATGTTTTAAAAATTAATGAAGAAAAAGAAAAGATACCAATACACACCTATTAGAATGGCCAAAATCCAAAACACTGATGGCACCAAATGCTGGTGAGGATGTAGAACAACAGGAAATCTTATTCATTGCTAGTGGGGATGGAAAATGATACAGCCACTTTGGAATACAGTTTGGCAGTTTTCTACAAAACAAAATATACTTTCACCATATGATCCAGCCGTTGCACTCCTTGATATTTACCCAAATGAATTGAAAACCTCTGTCCACACAAAAACCTGCATATGCATGTTTACAACAGCTTTGTTCATAATTGCCAAAACTTGGAAGCAAGATGTCCTTCAGGAAGTGAATGGACAAATAAATTGAGGTACAAACAGACAATGGACTGTTATTCAATGCTAAAAAGAAATAAACTATCAAGCTGCAAAAAGATATGGAGAAATTTTAAATGCACATTACTAAAAGAAGCCAATCTGAAAAGGCTACAGGCTGTATGACTCCAACTATATGACATTCTGGAAAAGGCAAAACCAAGGAGATAATTAAAAGGTTAGTGATTTCCAGAGCTTGAGGGAAAAGTGGAATTAATAGAGCACAGAAGAGTTTTAGGCAGTGAAACTATTCTATCTACTATAATCATGGGTTAGGGTTAGGATTAAGGTTAGGGTTAGAGTTAGTATGTATTATTATACAGCTGTCAAAATCCACAGAATGTACACCAAGAGTGAGCCCTAATGTAAACTATGGACTTCAGGTGATGATGTGTCCATGTCAGTTCATCAATTGTAACAAATTTTACCACAATGTACTAATGCACAGCATGTCAGTAGTGGGAAAGATTGTATGAGGGATGTGGGGACAGGGAGTATATGGGAACTCTCTGTACTTTTTGCTCAATTTTACTGTGAATCTAAAACTACTCTAAAAAATAAAGCCTATTAAAGAAAACGAAAGAGAAGAAGAAGAGGAAGAATCTCAAATCAGTAACCTAAACTTTAACAATTTTTTTCCTTAGGTCTTTCATGTTAGTAAAGAAATTTTTTTTAAAAAAAGCAAACAAAACCAAAAGCAAGCAGGGGAAAAGAAATAATAAAGACTAGAGTAGAGATAAATGAAACAGAGAATAGAAAACAATTCAGAAAATCCATGAAACTAAGAGTTAATTCTTTAAAAATACCAACAAAATTGACAGCTTTTAGCTGAACTAACTAAAATTAAAAGTGAGAAGATTCAGATTACTAAATACAGAAATAAAATATGGGGCATCACAACTGAACTTACAGTAATAAAAGAATTATAAGGGAATATTATGAAATATTATAAGCCAACAAATTAGATAACCCAGATGAAATGGGCCAACTTCCAGAAAAACACAAATACCTTAACTGACTTGAACAAACACAAAATCTTAATAGACCTATAACAAATACAGATATTGAATTATTAAGTAAAAAACTTTCTATGAAACAAGCAAAGCCCAGACCCAGATGGTTTTACTGGCGAATTCTACCAAATATTTAAAGAAGAATTAACACTTATCTTTTCAAACTCTTCCAAAAATATCAGAAAAGAGAACATGTGCCAATTCGTTCTATGAGATCAATATTACCGTGATAACAAAATTAGACTAAGATAATCAAAAGCATCACAAGAAAAAAAAAATCTACAGGTCAACATCCCTTATGAATATATATATGTGAAATTCCATAACAAAATACTGGCAACATATCAAAAGGATTGTAGACCATGACCAAATGGGATTTATTCCAAGAATGCAAATTGGGTTTAACCTAGGAAAATTGATCAATGTAATGCAACATGTTAATAGAATAAAGAATACAAACTAATGATTATCTCAAAGACAAAAAAAAAAGCATTTGACAAAAACCCAACACCTTTCACATTGATAACACTCAGCAAACTAGAAATAAAAGGAAACTTTGTCAACCTGATAAAGTTGTTAGCAGTGAAAAACCCACAGCTAACATTATACTTAATGGTGGATGACTGAGTGCTTTCCCCTTAAGATTAGGAATAAGACAAAGATGTCTGTTCTTGCGATTTCTATTCAACATTGTACTCAAGGTTCCATCCAGGGCAATTAAGCAAGAAAATGAAATTGATGGCTTCTAGATTGAAAAGAAAGTAATTAAACTATTATTTACAGGTGACATGACGTTGTATGTAGAAAATCCTAAGGAATCTAAAATATTAAAATTAGGGCCAGGCATGGTGGCTCATGCCTGTAATCCCAGCACTTTGGGAGGCTGAGATGGGTGGATTCCTTGAGTTCAGGAGTTCAAGACCAGCCCGGGCAATATGGCAAAACCCTGTCTCTATCAAAAATACAAAAAATTAGCCAGGCATTGTGGCACACACCTGCAGTCCCAGCTACTCAGGAGGCTGAGGTAGGAGAATCGCTTCAGCCTGGTAGGCAGAGGTAGCAGTGAGCTGAGATTATGCGACTGCACTCCAACCTGGGTGACAGAGGGAGACCCTGTTAAAAAAAAAAAAAGCTAACGATTTCAACAAGGTTTCAGGAAACAAAAACAATATACAAAAATTAGTTGTACTTCTATACACCAGCAGTGAATAATCCAGAAATTAAAATAGAAAAACAATAAATTTAACAAAAGAAAACTTGTACACTGGAAACTACAAAACAAAAATGATTGAAAGAAATTATATACAGATAAGACCTAAATAAATGAAAAGATGTCCCATGTTCATACATTGGAAGACATGATATTATTAAAATGGCAATACCCTCCAAACTGATCTACAGATTCAATACAATCCCTATCAGAATCCCAGCTGCCATTATTGCAGAAATGGACAAGCTGATTCAAAAATTCATGGGCAAAAATAAGATTGCATGTCAAGCCTGGGGAACATCCCAAGCCCAGTGTTTAATGGCCCAAAAAAGAAGAGCCAACAAACAAGCCTGAGAAGGAGGGGCCACATAGATGAAAGGGACACCAGGAGAGAGTGGTGTCATGGAACCCAACAGAACAGAGGGTCTCAAGGAGGTCATCAGGCGCTACTGCTGCTGGGAGGTCAAGTAAGATAAGGACAGAAATTTGTCCACTGGATTAGAGATAGAAAAGTCATGAATAACCTCAGCAGAAGTAGCTTATGTAACATGAAGAGGCTGGAATGCAGACTGGAATGGATTAAAGAGGGAGAGAGAGGTAAAAAATGAGACCGCAAATATACTTTCTTCAAAGACTTTGGTAGTGAAAAGGAGGAAAGCACTAAAGCAGAGGGGATGGTGGGCTGAGTAAATGTGTGTGTCCATCTGCTTACTTGCATTTAAGAAGGAAAAGATCTCAGTTTGAGTGTAAGTGGAGGAGGAGTGATAAAATATACAAGAAGGAGAAGGAGTTATTGATGGCTCTTTATCCTCAGAGGAAGCGAGTAGGAGAAAGATTGGAAGAGGAAGGAAATGTTTCTCTACTGTAACAGGAGGGGAGATAAGGACAGGGAAGATAAGGATAGGTTTCACTCCGAGAAGCTGAGAGGTTCCTACTGATGGCATGATTTTTCTCTGAGAAATAGGAATTTTGAGTTGTTTGCTAGGAGTTAGTGTGAGGATTGAGGTGCTGGAGGTTTGAAAAAGATAAGATCTTCAAATGGCCAGAGGAGAGCATGAGATATCTGCCTGTCAGGCATTGCTGTAACCCATGTGAGGGTTGTGGTCATGATTCAAGATGGCAGCCACCTACTCTATTGCACAGGCAGGAGTTGGGGTGGAGAGTGGGAAGATAGTAGAGTTCAGGGTTAGCCAGGGGAATGTGATGGAAGGTCAGAGGGTGAGAAATTCACTGCCAGTGAAGGATCATGGAGGCTAAGCTACATTCCAAGGAAAGTGAAGAAAAGAAAGTGATAAGAGAGAAAGGAGATGGCAAGAAAGGAAAGCAACCAAGAGGTCGCTCATTGAAAAGGAGTTACAGTGGGAGAAGTTGAACAGGCAGAGTAAGGAGGCAAGCCTAGCCTTGTGCTGGGATTTTCGATATCCATATGAGGCGCTCTACCCACCCCTAAAACCTACCCAAGGAGAACCACCAGAGTCCAGTAAAAATGTTTTTGAGTAGGACTCAGGAATCCTGGTTCTACCTCAAACTTCACACCCCTGTAGGAAGACACCAATCTTCAGTGTGCTCTTTATAACATTAGCATAGAACTTTAGAATCTCAAACCCAAACACCTTCATATCCATTAATTCCTTGGGCCTTCCAAAAAAAAAAAAAAAAAAAAAAAAAACAACGCTGTGCAAAAATAGCAGAGCAGGGACAATTATTTCTGTTTTCCATATATGAAGAAATGGGCTGGGGAAGAACTTTCCCTGGAGCCAGACACACACAGGTTCGAATCTTGCCTCTATCAGTTACAAATTGAAAACTATAGGTAGGTTTCTTTATCAAGTTTCAGTTTGATTTACTCATTAATAACATGGATTCACCATGTCTACTGCACAAGTTGGCTACAAAGTCAAAGGAAATCATGCATGCTATGTACTTAGGACATGTATGCTATGTACTTAGGATTATGTATGCTATATACTTAGGATCATGTATGCTATGTGCTTAGTGCCTAAGTTGTCCTAAGAGGCCCAGGGACATTAACAACTTGCCAAATTCACATAGTTAGCAATGGGAGAACAGGACACGACTCAGTGAGGGGGTGACCCAGCAACACCTACCTCTTCTGTATCAGGTAAGCCAGGGCCTGATTAATTCTAGCTCACTGATGGGACCACCTATGAGCTGAGGCTCCATGGTCCCATCAGACTTCACCTACAAAACACAAATTCAAAGACAAAATTATTAAGAAATTCAAGATGGTGTCCATAGAGCATTAACCCTCAATCTAGAAGGGTCCTCCTCACACCCCTGCCAATTGCAGGTCCTTCTGAGCACAGGGCCCTGTGCAGCTGCCCTGGTTGTACACCAATGAAACTGACACTCTTCTCACATCTACTTTCTCAGTAAGTGACAGCAGCTTCTAGTCTGAATCCAATCTAGAAGCCTCCTTGGACTCCACTGAGTAACACAGGGTCTACTTGAAACATCTCCCAAAAGTCACTGCTCTGACCCAGTTGTTCATCCTCCCACCCAGACCCCCTGCCTCCTGCCTCTCCCTATCCAGCCCCCTCAGAGATCTTTCTCTTTTTTTTTTTTTTGGAGATGGAGTCCTTCTCTGTCGCCCAGGCTGGAGTCCAGTGGCACGATCTCGGCTCACTGCAACCTCCTTCAGGGACTTTTCTAAAGCAATGCAGAGACCACATCACTGATGTCCTCAAAAACTTTTATGGGCTCATCACTGCCCTGGGGAAATAGGCTTCAACATCTTATAATGGCATCCAAGACCTACCACCATCGTGATATTTTCTAGCTTTACCCTCAAACTTTCTCTCTACCTGAGTAGCCTTTATGCCAACATCACTACACTAACTGCATGCTGTGATTTCACATCTGCCCTACCAGCCATACACACCCCTGCCTCCACCCTCACTTCCGTGTACTACTCATATAAGGTTCACCTTTTCCTCCCTGCCTTGGCAATCACTCATTCCTCTGCCTTCAGCTGTACCTGACTTGCCCCTCTTTTGTTGCTATTTCATTCATTTATTTACTACATACTTACTAAGCACCTACTGTATGCTAGATCCTGCTCTGGACACTGGGATATGACTAGAAAATGGGGCCTGGCATGGTGGTTCATGCCTGTAATCCTAACACTTTGGGAGACTGAGGTGGGTGGACCCCTGAAGTCAGAACTTAAAGGCCAGCCTGACCAATGTGGCAAAACCTCGTCTCTACTAAAAATACAAAAATTAGTTGGGTGTGGTGGCACATGCCTGTAATCCCAGCTACTCAGGAAGCTGAGGCAGGAGAATCACTTGAACCCAGGGGGCGGTGTTGCAGTGAGCCGAGATCGCAGCACTGCACTCCATCCCGGGCGAAAGAGCAAGACTCCATCTCAAACAAAAAGAAAGAAAATGGGCAAAATTCCTTCCTAAAGGAGCTTAAGTTCTAGTTGGGAAGGAGGACGAGAAGCCAAATAAATAAGTAAAATATATTGTGAGTGACATGAGCTATAGAAAAAGTAAAGCAGAAAGGAGCAGGGAGCCTGGAGGTGGATGTGTAATTTTAAGTGGAAAGATGAGGCAAAAGGTCCCCAAGGTGACTTCCTTCAGAGCAAAGACCTTATACAAGTGGAGAAACAAACCATGAGATATCAGCTCCAGAAGATTGTTCCGGGCAGAAGCAGCAGCAGAAGCAGCAGGTGCAGAGGCCTTAGGTGGAACTGTGCCTCGGGTGTGTGAGGAACAGAGAGAAGGCCAGTGAGGATGGAGCTAAAAGAGATTAGAGATGAGGACAGAGATGATGAGGATCCAAGTCCCCAGGGCCCTGTAGACCAGGAAAAGGACCTTGACTTGTACTCTGAGTCGTGTGGGAAAATGTTGGAGAATGTTAATCAAAAAAGATTTAAAAAAAACTATTGTTTGTTTCTATGTCTATCCCCAAGTAGTCTGTGCATTTCTGGGGCCTGGGTTTTCTAGACCTCTGCCTGGCCCACAGGCCTGGCACATAGTGGGTGATCAGTGGGTGCTTATGGGTGTTTGTTGAATCAACAGGTGAGTAAGCTCAAGGCCATGGGTTTGTGTCTTCCACAGGTTGGCCGGCTGTGGCCTCACAGCTGAGGGCTGCAAGGACCTTGCCTCTGGGCTGAGAACCAACCAGACCCTGACAGAGGTGGAGCTGAGCTTCAATGTGCTCACAGATGCCGGAGCCAAACATCTTTGCCAGGGACTGAGACGGCCAAGCTGCAAGCTACAGCGACTGCAGTAATTGCTCCTGGTGTGCAGGGGAGGTGGGGGGAGCTGCGTGCCACCATGAGGCAGACGGAGGGGACAGGCAGAGAGAAGGTGAGACCTGCTTTGTGGGAGTGGAAGGAGCCTACTGGATCTCAGCCAGGCAGTAGAGGCTCAGGAGGAAGCTCATCCACCCCTGGACAGAGGGAGGGGGCCTCCAGGCTCCAAATAGCACAAGAGAAACCAAGTTGAATCAAGGGGCATGGATGCAAGGTGGGGACAAGGGGCAGAATTTGTGGCCATTTTCACAGACTACCACAAAGGATGATGGTGATAGTGCCAACTTCATAGAGCTATGAGGACTGCAGCAGTGTTTTTCTATTCCTCTCCTGTTCCCACCAACTGTGATCTACCGAATAACAGGTCCTCTCACTTGGCATGAGACTCTGCCATGGAAAGCTGAAATCACTGGTATCCACTTAATTCGATTTTCTGTCTCATTCGAAAGGGCAGAGCCATGCCCCCTACCATGTAGAAACAAGGCCAGGCAATGTGGTTTGTGCCTGTAATCCCAGCATTTTGGGTGGTCTGGGTGGGCAGATTTGAGGTCAGTTCGAGAACAGCCTGGCCAACATGGTGAAACCCTATCTCTACTAAAAATATAAAAATTAGCTGGGCATGGTGGTGGGCACCTAGAATCCCAGCTACTGAGGGAGGCTAAGGCAGGACAATCGTTTGAACCCAGAAGGTGGAGGTTGCAGTGAGCCAAGATCACACCATTGTCTGGGTAGCAGAGCAAGACTCCTCAAAAAGGAAGGAAAGGAGAGGGGAGGGGAGAGGAGGGGAGGGGAGCAAGGTTGGCTGGTCGCGGTGGTTCATGCCTGTAATTTCAGCACTTCAGGAGGCCAAGGCAGGTCAATCACCTGAGGCCAGAAGTTCGAGATCAGCTTGGCCAACATGGTGAAACCACATCTGTATTAAAAATACAAAAATTAGCCAGTCATAGTGGTGCACGCCTGTAATCCCAGCTACTCAGGAGGCTAAGGCAGGAGAATCACTTGAACCCGGGAGGTGGGGTTGCAATGAACTGAGATTACGCTATTGTAGTCCAGCCCAGGCCACAGAGTCAGACTTCTCAAAAAAAAGAAAAAACAATTAGACCCAGGTATACAAGTGGGACATTGAGTAAGTCACTCATCGATGTGGACAGAGTGAGGGGATAGGATCAGTGGGAATCACACAGGATTGAGAAAGGGTGGGTGCCAGCATCCTGAGGGGTTCTGTAGCTGCAAGAGGAAAGTGAAAATCTCTCAGGTTACTGCAAGTCAGGAAAGTTTGTATCTTCTCAGCATGTCACCCCAAACCTCTAAAAGGCCACACGTGCTAGGAAGGTAGATCAGAAGAGCAAGCCCTCAGGACAATGACCTGGGCTGGTATGTACCTTTCCTGTAGGCTGGTCAGTTGTGGCCTCACGTCTGGCTGCTGCCGAGCCCTGGCCTCTGTGCTTAGCGCCAGCCCCAGCCTGAAGGAGCTAGACCTGCAGCAGAACGACCTAGATGATGTCGGCGTGCAGCTGCTCTTTAAGGGACTCAGGCATCCTACCTGCAAACTCACACGCCTGGGGTAAGTTCCTGTGGGTCCCTTCTAGGCAAAGGGCAGAAAAGACGGATGCGGGAGCTGTCAAAGAGGGAAGGAAAAGGAACTGATAAATTCATAGTCAGCACACATTTCTTACCAACTCTACCACTTACACACTGTGTGACTTGGACAAGTCATCAAATTCTCTGTGACTCTTCCTTCATCTGTGAAATGGGAATATCATACCCACCTCATGGATTGTAATATATGTAAAAACAAGGACAGGAAAGATATGGCAGCTCACACCTATAATCCCAGCACTTTGGGAGGCAAAGGTGGGTGGATCAAGGAGGGGTCAGGAATTTGAGACCAGCCTGGCCAACTTGGTGAAACTCATTTCTACTAAAAATACAAAAATTAGCTGGGCACGGTGGTGGGCACTAGTAATCCCAGCTACTCCGGACGCTGACGCAGGAAAATCACTTGAACCCAGAGGTCGAGGTTTCAGTGAGCCAAGATGGCGCCACTGCACTCCAGACTGGGTGACAGAGTGAGACTCAGTCTCAAAAATAAATTAATTAATTAGTAATTAAAATAAAAACAAGGACATTACTGGGAAGAGTCGGGCATGATCAAATGATAACTGTTACTGAGGCTACATGTTATAGGCGACTCCCAGATTCCCTTTACTCCAGGGCAGTGCTTCATTCATTTAGTTACTCATTCATTCATTCACTGAGTGCCTCCAATGTGCAAGCACCAGGCTGGGCCCTGGGGCACAATAGTGACCAAACAGACATGGGCCCTGCCCTCCTGAAGCTTACACTCTAGTGAGGAACAGATGAACATTGGTCACCTGTAAATGCACAAGTATATATGTATGAGCTCTGTGGAGTGCTATGAAAGGAAAGAACAGGGTATTAGGAGAATGTGATATTGGGGGAGGATGGAATTGGATCAGAGGTCCAGGGACGACTTCCCTGAGAAAGTGACATCAGGCTGAGGTCTAAAGGAGGAAGAGGTACCCAGGCCAAGTTGGGGAGAGTAGTCCAGGCAAAAAGATGGTGTAGGGAAAGGCCTGGAACAAAGAGGCACTTGACCCTGAGAGATGAAGGACACTGAGAGGCTGGAGTGGAGCAAGCACCCCTCATTTCTATCTGGTAGGCCCCAGAGATTCTTGCCCTTCCCTGAGCAGCCACCCCCATGCTATCTCTGGGCCACTTCTGTTCCCCTCTACTCCCTGGGAGCATGCTTACAGGTCGCTTCTGTCTTGACAATTACCTACGGCTCCTGCCAGGGCCCCTGCCACGTGCTCAGGGAGTAGACAGGGCCCAAAACTTCCACTTCCAGAGCCTTCTCAGAGGGGATCCGAGAAGCCTGGGCCTTGGGCTTTCCTCAGCCAGGCCTTTCAAACTATAAGAGGTGGTCAAGGCAGAATAACAGAAATAAATATTCTACATTTTGATTCTGTAGCTGACACCAGCCATTTACAGCCATAGGAACTCCATCCCAAAGGGGCAGTACCTTTGCACCCCAGCCTGCTGCTCCCCACTCAGTATTTTTGGCTATCATCACTTCCTCTATGTTGAAGAGCCTCTCCCCAGAGCATGTCCATTGTGGGCAGACATGGCAGACACAGCTTCAGGCCCCAGCTCAACACTTACCTGTCAAACCTGGGCTGCCTCCAAGGGGTTTGCTCTCTAGAGTCCCAAGAAGGTTTCCACCTCCTTCCCTCCTGGAGCCAGGACTTAGTTGAGAAGAATAACCTTTTACTTGAAGGGCTGCCCTCCTCCACAGGGACAGAACAGCTCTGACAGCAGGAGGGGCATGAATGCAGAGCCCTGCAGAGCCCTTCACAGAAGTCAGGGTCTTTTCACTTCCTGTGCCTCAGAACAGGCAGGACAGGAGTGATTCACCCCACAGGGTAGACTGAGGACACAGAGACCCAGAGAAGACAATCAGCATCCCACACCTGGCAGAAACCCCAGAGCACAAGGCCTGGGAGAATGGAACCAGGACTCTCTTCCCAGCAAAACTTCCGACCTCTGGGAAGAAAATCCCAGGACCCAGGCCTCAGGTGGTCATTTTCAGGCCATGGGGAATGTCCCTGGCAACCGGTTACAGAGACAGCCTCTGCCAGTGACAGCTGTCTCACCCAAGGCCACATCTCCTTCCTGGGGAGGCCTGCACCCGATGACTGGCCATTGTTGAGGTATAAAGGCCCAGACCCTCATCCCAACTCCTTTAAACAGCTCTACAGGATCATCCCACAGAGTCGGCTGAGGCCTCCATGGAGACTGACTCACAGCCCACGTCTCCCTGATTGCCTCCCTTCTCTTGCCCTGGTGTTGACCCAAGAACACACCCAAATGAATATCCTCACTATATCCTCATCCTCAGAACCAGGCTCTCAGGGAACCTGCCCTTCAGAAGGAAGCCACTCCTTCAGAAGGTGACAAGTCCTGGAATTCTGGGCCCGGAAGACCTGCGAACTACATGGGGTATCCCAGGAAGACCTCACTCCCTTTGTGCTTTCAGGCTGGACCAGACAACTCTGAGCGATGAGACCAGGCAGGAGCTGAGAGCCCTGGAGAAGGAGAAGTCCCAGCTGCTCTTGTCCTACACACGGTAAGGGGTAGCCCCAGAACTCCCTCTGACTGATCCACGCCCAGGGCTGAGCAGGAGACAGGGAAAGAGCCTTGGGGTGAGAGACAAACCTAGCCAGGGAGAAACCGAGAAGCTGCAGCACCCAGAGTGAGATGCACTTGTCAGTGCAAATAAAATGAAATCTCCCCATACTTCAACTCTCACACTAGACAAACAAGGAAAGGAAAACATGAAAAAGTAAGTAGGCTGAAATATTCACCAGGCTTGGTGGCACATGCTTGTAGTCCCAGCTACTCAGGAGGCTGAGGCACAAAAATTGCTTGAACCGGGCAGGCAGAGGCTACAGTGAGCCAAGATTGCAGCATTGCACTCCAGCCTGGGCAACAGAGTGAGACTGGCTTTGTAAAGTTAACTAATTAATTAATTTATTTAATTTAATGAAAACCAAGACAATGCTGGGGAGAGAGTCGGGCATGATCAAATTATAACTGTTACTGAAGTAGCACGTTCTAAGGGACTCCCAGGTTCCCTTCACTCCAGCACAGCAATTCATTCATTCATTTACACATTCATTCATTAACTGAGTGCCTCTAATGGGCAAGCACTATGCTGGGCCCTGGGGTATAATAGAGAGCAAACAGATGTGGACTCTGCCCACCTGAAGTTTATACTCTAGTGCAGAAGAGATGGACGTTGGCTACCTGTAAATGTACAAGTATATATGTATGAGCTCTGTGGAGTGCTATGAAAGGAAAGAACAGGATATTATGAGAATGTGATATTGGGGGAGGATGGAATTGGATCAAAGGGCCAGGGACGACTTCCCTGGAAAAGTGATGTCAGGCTGAGGTCTGAAGGAGGAAGAGGTACCCAGGCCAAGTTGGGGAGGTTAGTCCAGGCCAAGGGATGGCGTTGGAAAAGGCCCGGAACAAAGAGGCGCTAGTGCCCCAGAGAGCTGAAGAACCCTGAGTGGCTGGAGTGGAGTGAGCTTCCAGCCTTCATTTCTATCCTGTGGGCCCCAGAGATTCTTGCCCTTCCCCGAGCAGCCACCCCCACGCTATCTCTAGGCCACTTCTGCTCCTCTCCACCTCCCTGGGAGCATGCTTACAGGTCGCTTCTGTCTTGACAATTACATACGGCTCCTGCCAGGGCCCCTGCCACGTGCTCAGGGAGTAGACAGGGCCCAAAACTTCCACTTCCAGAGCCTTCTCAGAGGGGATCCGAGAAGCCTGGGCCTTGGGCTTTCCTCAGCCAGGCCTTTCAAACTATAAGAGGTGGTCAAGGCAGAATAACAGAAATAAATATTCTACATTTTGATTCTGTAGCTGACACCAGCCATTTACAGCCATAGGAACTCCATCCCAAAGGGGCAGTACCTTTGCACCCCAGCCTGCTGCTCCCCACTCAGTATTTTTGGCTATCATCACTTCCTCTATGTTGAAGAGCCTCTCCCCAGAGCATGTCCATTGTGGGCAGACATGGCAGACACAGCTTCAGGCCCCAGCTCAACACTTACCTGTCAAACCTGGGCTGCCTCCAAGGGGTTTGCTCTCTAGAGTCCCAAGAAGGTTTCCACCTCCTTCCCTCCTGGAGCCAGGACTTAGTTGAGAAGAATAACCTTTTACTTGAAGGGCTGCCCTCCTCCACAGGGACAGAACAGCTCTGACAGCAGGAGGGGCATGAATGCAGAGCCCTGCAGAGCCCTTCACAGAAGTCAGGGTCTTTTCACTTCCTGTGCCTCAGAACAGGCAGGACAGGAGTGATTCACCCCACAGGGTAGACTGAGGACACAGAGACCCAGAGAAGACAATCAGCATCCCACACCTGGCAGAAACCCCAGAGCACAAGGCCTGGGAGAATGGAACCAGGACTCTCTTCCCAGCAAAACTTCCGACCTCTGGGAAGAAAATCCCAGGACCCAGGCCTCAGGTGGTCATTTTCAGGCCATGGGGAATGTCCCTGGCAACCGGTTACAGAGACAGCCTCTGCCAGTGACAGCTGTCTCACCCAAGGCCACATCTCCTTCCTGGGGAGGCCTGCACCCGATGACTGGCCATTGTTGAGGTATAAAGGCCCAGACCCTCATCCCAACTCCTTTAAACAGCTCTACAGGATCATCCCACAGAGTCGGCTGAGGCCTCCATGGAGACTGACTCACAGCCCACGTCTCCCTGATTGCCTCCCTTCTCTTGCCCTGGTGTTGACCCAAGAACACACCCAAATGAATATTCTCACTATACCCTCCTCCTCTGAGCCCAGTTCCCAGGGAACCCACCCTGCAGCCACTCCTTCAGAAGGTGGCAGTTTCCCGGATTCTGGGTCCTGAGGACCTCTGAACCACGTGGGGGTTCCCAGGAGGACCCAGCCACCTTTATGCTTTCAGGCATTTCCAACAAACTCTGAGCAATGAAACCAGGCAGGAGCAGAAGGCCCTAGTGCAGGAGAAGCCTCGGATTCAGTTCTTTTGCATGAGACGGTAAGGAGGAGCACCAAAACTCCCTCTGGCTGATCCAGGCCCAGGGCTGATCAGGAGACAGGGAAAGAGTCTTGGGGTGAGAAATAAACACAGCCAGGAAGAAACCAAGAAACCACAGCAGCCAGAGTAAGGTGCCCTTGTCAGTGCAAATAGAATCAGCCCCCCGCCCCTAGCTTATACTCTTCCATAGGCAGACAAGGTGAGAACTTGAAAAAGTAAATGGGCTAAAAAACTAGCTGGGTGTGGTGACAGGTTCCTGTAGTGCCAGCTACTGGGGAGGCTGAGACATGAGAATCACTTGAACCAGGAAGGCAGAGGCTGCAGTGAGCCAAGATCGTGCCACTGCACTCCAGCCTTGGCAACAGACCAAGACTGCATCTCAAAAAAAAAAAAAAGGAAAAGAAAAGAAAAAGCCAGTGAACCAGCGAATCCCCTTGACACGGCACAGCTTGATGCCAAGTGGCCTCTTGTTCAGGAATCCTTTGGTGAAGAACAGAGAAGGTTTGGAACAATGAAAGCAATGATCACAAGAGGGAGACAAAGACAGAAAGAGCCTGTGCCTTGGGAAAAATACCACCCTCGCCATCACTGTCATCCACCACCCTCACCACCAGCACCACACCCACCCCTCACTTGAGGGGAAGCCCAGGGACAGGAAAGTCCATCTTTCACTCCCTGAGGAATCAGCTGCAGCCCCTGTGTTCTCCCAGTTGGGTGCATTTCCACCTGACCACGAAGCATATCTGTCCCCAGGTTCCTGGCTGCTGTATCTCACCTGAAATGGAAGGAAAAGAGCTCCTAGGCTTAAGAGGAGCCATTCATTCATTAAACAAACATTCCCTGCAGACCCACTGTGTGTCGGGCACAATTTTGGGATCTGAGGTCACAATGAACAAGAAAGATACGGCTCAACCTCCAGGAGCTTAGTCCAACAGGGAGACATGCACAGGTTATCCCACGGGTGTCTGCAATTATACCTAGGGTCAGTGTGAGTACACCGATGGGCCTATTTGACCTGGACAAGAGGAACTGAGCTGAGCTCTGAAAGATAGGATGGGTTGGTTGGGCCCAAGAAGGGGTGGATTCCAGGCAGAAGTAGAGGCTCTGAGAGAGAAAAGAGTTTAGCCTCCATGAGGAATGGGAGGCCAGGCATCAGGAGCCGCTACTCAAAGTGTGATCCGTGGACCAGCAGCATCAATATCACCTTTACCAGGAGCTTGCTAGAAATGAAAATTCTCAGGCCCCACTCCAGACCTGCTGAATCAAAATCTCTGGGGTGGGGCCCAGGAATCTTTTTTTCTTTCTTTTTCTTTCTTTGAGACAGAGTCTTGCTCTGTCACCCAGGCTGGAGTGCAATGCATGATCTTGGCTGACTGCAACCTCTGAGACCTCTCCAGTTCAAGTGATTATTCTGCCTCAGCCAACTGAGTAGCTGGGATTACAGGCACATAACACCATGCCTGGCTAATTTTTGTATTTTTAGTAAAGACAGGGTTTTATCGTATTGGCCAGGCTGGTCTCAAACTCCTGACCTTTTGATCCACCCACCTCAGCCTCCCAAAGTGCTAGGATTACAGGCGTGAGCCACTGTGCCTGGCTGAATCTGTGTCCTAACCAGCCTTCCAGATGATTGTTAAGCACACTGAGTTTGAGAACCACTGGACTAGAGGTCAGTGAGCAGGAAGAACATGCACCAGGTGACACTGGAGGGTGACAGAGGCCCCAGCAAGCCCTTTTGGACCGTGTTTAAAACTTTCCGTTTTCCCCTAGAAGTAATGTAGAGACACTACAGGGCTGCGGCAGCCAAGTGATGGGTCAGGTTCCTATTTTAAGATCTGCTGCTATGCAGAAAATGGGCAGCAGAGGGACCTGAGCAGAAGGAGGGAAACCTTTCAGAGGATGCTGCAGTGATACAGGCCACAGAGGCCAGGGCCTGGGACTCGGGTGGAGGTCATGGAAGTGCAGAGAAGAGAATAGAAAGAAGAGCTAGTTAGGAGGTGTTGTCAAGGTGATCGGCTCTTAGGGTTGGTGAAGCAAGAGTTGGGATGCTGCCCCAGCTCTCCTGGATGCATGAGTGGATCAAGGCCACTCACAGAGACAGGGACCACAAAAGAAGCACAAAATTGAGTTCAAATTCAGGTGAGGTTTGGTTTGATTTTGTTTGGTTTGGTGACACCATATGGCTGTATTCCCAGACTGGAGTGCAGTGGCACAACCTCAGCTCACTGAAACCTCTGCCTCCTGGGCTCAAGTGATCCTCCCACTTCAGCCTTCCAAGTACCTGGGAATTCAGGTGCATGATGCCACCATGCCCAGCTAGCTTTCGTATTTTTGGCAACAATGAGGTGAGGAGGTCTCACTATGTTAACTCAGGCTGGCCTTGAACTCCTGAGCTCAAGCCATCCACCCATCTAGCTGCTGTGCCCCAGTAGTAGCACAGTGGGAATTTGCTTGCCTGCCTTCTCCTGCCTCTCAGGAGGACCTGCATACGAAGCCTTTGGGGACTGATGATGACTTCTGGGGCCCCACAGGGCCTGTGGCTACTGAGGTAGTTGACAAAGAAAGGAGCCTGTACCGGTGAGTGAGGGCTCTGCTGGTCCCAGGCTGGCCTCTCCCACCCCACTGCCCATCCTCGGTCCCCACAGTCAGTGCCCCCCAATTCACACTGGCCATTGGGTCACCCTTGCCAAGACAACAGGCAGGGACAGGACTGAGACACTGGATATGTGCTTTTCATGATGCAAAAGATGTTTTCTTATGAAACTTTAAGTTTTCAAACATACACAAAAATAGATAGTACAAGGAGCTTCCATGTACCCATTACCCAACTTTAGGCACTGTTTTACCAAATTTGTTTCAGCTGTTCACTTTCCCCCCTTTGTTATTGTTACAGTATTTTAAATCCAAGACGTCAGGTGATTTTACCCTGAAATATTTCATTATGCATCTCAAAAAACAAAAATTAAAACCTTTTCTTCCATAACATAACTACAATACCAATATTACATCTAACAAAGCTGACAATAAGTCTTTCATTTCATCTAATCCCCAATCCATATTCAAATTGCTCAATTGTCTAAAACATGTTTTTGGAGTTGGCGTGTTCTTTTTTGTTTGTTTGTTTGAGACCGAGTCTCACTCTGTCATCCAGGCTAGAGGGCAGTGGCAAAATCTCAGCTCACTGCAATCTTCGCCTCCTGGGTTCAAGCGATTCTCCTGCCTCAGCCTCCAGAGTAGCTGGAACTAAACTTGTATACCACCACACCCAGCTAATTTTTGTATTTTTAGTAGAGACAGGATTTCACCATATTGGACAGGCTGGTCTTGAACTCCTGACCTCAGGTGATCCACTCACCTAGGCCTCCCAAAGTGCTGGGATTACAAGCGTGAGCCACCGTGCCCGGCCAGTTGGTTTGTTCTTATCAGGATCCAAACAAGGTCCACTCATTTTATTTTGTTTGTTATGTTTCTTAAATCTCACTTAACTCTCTTTTAATCTGTGTGCTCCTGTTTTATTAACAGCCACCAGTGAGCTAAGGACTGTGCTAGTAGCTGGGAACCCTGAGATGAACGTGGCAGCCCTGCCCTCCCAGGGATATAGTTGCATTAGTAATAATTGTCTGTAGTCACACTCATGATATCAAACTCAGATAAAGTTTTGTTTGTTTTTAATCTTTTTTTTTCTTTTTCTTTTTTTTTNTTTTTTTGAGATATGGTCTAGTTCTGTCACCCAGGCTGGAGTACAGTGGCGCGATCTGGGCCAGTAGCTGGAATTACAGATGTGTGCCACCAAGCCCAGTAATTTTTTGTATTTTTAGTAGAAAGGGGTTTTCGCCATGTTGGCCAGGCTTATTTTTTTGTTTTTAAGACAGCGTCTGGCTGTGTCGTCTATACTGGAGTGAAGGGGCATACTTCTCAGCTTACTGCAACCTCTGCCTCCTGGGCTCAAATGATCCTCCCACTTCAGCCTGCCAAATAGCTGGGATTACAGGTGCATGCCACCATGCCCAGCTAATTTTTGTATTTTTGGCAGATAGGAGGTGGGAGGTCTCATTATGTTACCCAGGCTGGTCTCGAACTACTGAGCTCAGGCCATCCACCTATCTCGACCTCCCAAAGTGCTAAGATTACAGACGTGGGCCACTGCACTCAGCCTGAGGATGAGTTGAATTTTAAGTGGGGATGTCATGTAGACAGCCCTCACTGTCTCCAAGATCTTTAGGAGAACGAACAATTCTTTCTCCAGGAAACCAAGTGTGATGATCCCTAATGAGGGCCCGGATACAGGAGAGATGAGTAACAGCACATCCTCACTCAAGCGGCAGAGACTCAGATCAGGTAGTTAGAAGGGGCGAAGCTGGGAGCATCATGATGGCTTGGGGGAGGCCAGCTATGGGAGGTCATTCCCTCCATCCCTCTGCCCCTAATGTGGGACAGGGCAGGTTCCCTACCCCTATGAGAGAGCTCCCACTCCTAAGAACTGGCTGGATTTCTGCTTCCCTCTCTCCTAGGCTCAGGGGCTGGTGCTGCCTTTCTCCAGAAAATCTATGGCATGTATCAAACCCTGAATAAGGATCCAGCCTCCCATTCTTGGCTGCCAAGGCCTGGGAACCACATCACCATCTTTTCCCTGCCATCTTTAAAAAAAAAAAAAAAAAGAAAGAAAAAAAAAAACAGGGTCTCATTTTACCACTTAGGCTGGAATGCAGTGGCATGTTCATAGTTCACTGCAGCCTCAACCTCCCGAGCTCAAACAATCCTCCCACCTCAGCCTCCTGAGTAGAACTGGGACTGCAGATGCACACCACCATGCCTGGCTGATATTTTTCTTTTTTCTGTAGAGACGGAGTCTTCCTATGTTGCTCAGGCTGATCTCAAACCCTTGGACTGGAGCAATCCTCCTGCCAAGGCCTTTCACAGTGCTGGGATGACGAGCAAGAGCCACGGTACCTGGCCCCCTTCATCTTTTGAAACATGTTCCTCTCTCAACCTGCCCAACTGGACATACTGGGAAGAGTGCCCCTTCTGTTCCAGTGTAGAAGGGGAGATGGGCAGAGGCTGGGCTGGAGGCAGTGGAGTGGGCCTACCCAGACAGTAGGCAGGCAGCCAGGGAGCAGGAGCAGAAGCTGCAGACATACTCTCTGCCATGGTCCAGGCAGGCTAGCCTTATTAATGCCCCTTACAGTGCAGCCATAGGGGCTGGGGGAGGCCAGGTAGAAGAATGTGGAGCTGACCACTGCCTTGCTGTTTCAGAGGGAAGCGTCCCAAGGATAGCACAGCAGGAACTCGCCTGTCTGCCTTCTCCTGCCTCTCAGGAGGACCTGCATACGAAGCCTTTGGGGACTGATGATGACTTCTGGGGCCCCACAGGGCCTGTGGCTACTGAGGTAGTTGACAAAGAAAGGAGCCTGTACCGGTGAGTGAGGGCTCTGCTGGTCCCAGGCTGGCCTCTCCCACCCCACTGCCCATCCTCGGTCCCCACAGTCAGTGCCCCCCAATTCACACTGGCCATTGGGTCCCCTACCCTTGCCAAGACAACAGGCAGGGACAGGACTGAGACACTGGATATGTGCTTTTCATGATGCAAAAGATGTTTTCCTATGAAACTTTAAGTTTTCAAATATACACAAAAATAGAGAGTACAAGGAGCTTCCATGTACTTCCATTACCCAGCTTTAGGCACTGTTTTACCAAATTTGTTTCAGCTGTTCACTTTCCCCCCTTTGTTATTGTTACAGTATTTTAAATCCAAGACGTCAAGTGATTTTACCCTTAAATATTTCATTATGCATCTCAAAAAAACAAAAATTAAAACCTTTTCTTCCATAACATAACTACAATACCAATATCATATCTAACAAAGCTGACAAGAAGTCTTTCATTTCATCTAATCCCCAATCCATATTCAAATTGCTCAATTGGCTAAAACGTGTTCTTGGAGTTGATGTGTTCTTTTATTTTATTTATTTATTTATTTATTTATTTTTGAGACAGAGTCTCACTCTGTTGTCCAGGCTAGAGTGCAGTGGCACGATCACGGATCACTGCAACCTCCACCTCCTAGTTCAAGCGATTCTCCTGCCTCAGCCTCTAGAGTAGCTGGGACTACACTTGTATGCCACCACGCCCGGTTAATTTTTGTATTTTTAGTAGAGATCGGGTTTCACCATATTGGACAGGCTGGTCTCAAACTCGTGACCTCTTGTGATCCATTCCACTCACCTAGGCCTCCCAAAGTGCTGGGATTACAGGCATGAGCCACTGTGCCCAGCCAGTTGGTGTGTTCTTATCAGGATCCAAACAAGGTCCACTCATTTTATTTTGTTTGTTATGTTTCTTAAATCTCACTTAACTCTCTTTTAATCTGTGTGCTCCTGTTTTATTAACAGCCACCAGTGAACTAAGAATTGTACTAATAGCTGGGAACCCTGAGATTAATATAGCAGCCCTGCCCTCCCAGGGCTTATAAGTTGCATTAGTAATAATTGTCTGTAGTCATACTCATGATCTCTTATATAACGTTTTACCACTCACCAAACACTGCCACAGACATCATCTCAGCCAGGAGACAGCATCACTCCCAACTCACACCTACAGAAGCTGGGGCATCCTGGGACCCACTATTAACCCACATGGGGAGCCTTGGGAAAATCACTTCTGATCTCTGTAAAGTGTTGTTTTCCGTTCTAAGAGTTTAGCATTAATATTAGCACATATGGCCAGGCATGGTGTCTCATGCCTATAATCCCAGCAGTTTATGAGACCAAGACAGGAGAATCACTTGAGTCCAGGAGTTCAAGGCCAGCCTGGGCAACATGGTGAAACCCTGTGTCTGCAAAAATTACCGAAAAAATTAGCTGAGCGTGGTGGCGTGTGCCTGTAGTCCCAGCTACTCAGGAAACTGAGGTGGGAGAATTGCCCAAGCCGGGGAGTTCAAGGCTGCAGTGAGCTGAGATCAGGCCACTGCACTCCAGCCTGGGCAACAGAGTGAGACCATATTTCCAAATATAGATATTTTCCTGCATTCCACTCTTCTCTGGATGTAGATACATGCATACATACATACATACATACATACATAGATGATTAGACAGATAAAAGATACATAGATACATACATACATATCTTAGCACATATATTGTTATTGATTATTGGTAAATAGACCCTTTACATATACGAACACTTATTATTTCACTATCATTGCCATCATCAACATAAAAGAAACAGTTAACTGCTCCCAGGTGTGTACTAAGCTGTGAGCATGTTAGGTCACTTATTCTCACAACTAAGAGATGGGAGCTATGATTATTCCTACTTACAGATGAGGAAACCAACAACAAGAAAGTTAAATGACTTGTTCCAGGATCCACATTCAAGAACAGAAGAGCCAGGACTAAAATGCAAGTCCATCTGAATTCTAAATGAAGTCTGGGCTTGAAGCCACTGTATCGTATGCGCATGGGGTCTGGCATCCAGCTGGTGCTCAGTGAATTTGTTCAATAAGGGACTGCCTCTCTCTCTTCTTCCCAGAGTTCACTTCCCTATGGCTGGCACCTACCGCTGGCCTAACATGGGTCTCTGCTTTGTGGTGAGAGAAGCCGTTACCACTGAAATTGAGTTGTGTGTGTGGGATAAGCTCCTGGGCGAAATCAACCAACAGCACAGCTGGATGGTGGCAGGGCCTCTGTTGGACATCAAGGCTGAGCCTGGAGCCATCAAAGCTGTGCACCTCCCTCACTTTGTGGCTCTCCAAGGTAAACAAGAGGGAAGGATGGAGAGGAAGGTGGTAGTAATTATGAGTCTGAAAGGGAGTATAGGACAATGATATCCTGGGAAAGGGTGTTGTGGCTTCCTTAGAGGAACTGAGGGAGGGTTAAGGAGATGAAAACTAAGATTTTCCTGCATTCCACTCTTCTCTGGACATATCTTTTTGAAACACATTTCCCAGCCTCATAAATATGTCTGCATAATCTTACTTGAAAGTTTTTATTAAGTGTTATTTATATAGATCATATCACTCAGGGTCCCAGCAGAAAAGAGATGATATGCTCACTTGGGATTTTTGAAGAAGCTTTTCAAAGACCAGACCATTCACAAAGTAAAGCTAAGTGAACTAACAAGAAATGTTGGGGCACTAGCACAATAGGAAGCCATCACTACTCCTACAGGCAGGGAGAAGAAACAGTGTCATCAGACTCCATCTGAGAGCCGAAGCCATGAAAGAGGGGCTTCCCAACAAAACATCGTAATCACAAAGTATCCTGACCTCTGTCGCCTCCAAAGACTTCCCACAGATAGAGTTCCAAGAAATATCAGCTAACAGTCAAAAATCTCACAAAGGAGAAACAAGGCACCAGAAGTAAGAACCAGCAGAAACTAGATACCAGAATCAGTTCCTTAAATTCTTCAGATGTTGAAATTATCAGAAACAGAACATAAGTGTATATAATATGACCAAAAAAAAAAGTAACCTTAAAATTATCAGCAAAAATAATGAACCATTAAAAATGACATATCAAAGTTGGAAACTAAATTGACCAAAAAAATGAAAAAAAACAGGAAAACAATTAAGTAACTTGTAGGATACCATGATAAGTCCTAATATATATCTAAGTCAAATTCCAGAAAGATATGATAGAAGGGGAAAAAGGGAATATTCAACAAAACAATTGCAAATACATTTCTAGAAGTATTGAGACATACGAGACCTCAAGATGAGAAATCCCAAAACATGCAATGAAAGAAAGAGAGAGAGAGAAGGGAGATAAAAAATCAGCATTAGTCTCATTATTGTGAAATTACAGAATAACAAAGTATGAGGGAAAGTCAACAGCAGCCAGAAAGAAAGATAGATTATCTAGAAAGGTGCCACAATCAGGCTGATGACTGATTTTTGAACTGCAACAATGGAAGACAGAAGACAATGGAATGATTTCTTCAATGTACTAAAAACCGTCAGTCAAAAATTGTAAACAAGGCCAGCTCAGTGACTCACACTTGTGATCCTAGCACTTTAGGAGGCAGAGGTGGGAAGTGAACTCACTTGAGCCAGGAGTTCAAGACCAGCCTGGGCAAAACGGTGAAACCTCATCTCTACAAAAAAATTTTTTAAATAACCAGGAATGGTGGAACATGCCTGTGGTCCCAGCTACATGGAGGCTAAAGTAGAATTGCTTGAGCCTAGGAGATCGAGGCTGCAGTGATCTGTGATTGCACCACTGCACTCCAGCCTGGGAGACAGAGTGAGACCCTGTCTCAAAAAAGATACCAATTTTTTTTTTAAAGTTCGCAGAGAACTGAAACCACTAAAGCCAAGAATCCTTTCTGCAAACAAATGCTTACTGAAGAAAATTCTGAAAAATACATTTCAGGCAGCCAGGCACAGTGGCTCATGCCTGTAATCCCAGACTTTGGGAGGCCAAGGTGGGCAGATCACTGACAAAATATTGACTGGATAAAGCAACAATATGAAGGACTCATGGGGATTTAAAAGAGACAAACAACTAGGTAAATACCAACACTAATAGCAAATAAGAGTGCTAAAGGATTCTAAGGTCTTGGTATATTTCAGAAGGAGGGCAAGGCAGGGCTGGCCTATAGAGAGATACACCAGTACTGCTGCCCAGTTTAAACTACTAAAATACTTCTGGACAGAGCAGTAAAGAGACAGTCTCCACTTCTTGAGACCACTCACTTCTTGAGACCTAACAACAACATCTGGTGTTGACCACAGGCTGGAAATGGGGCCTGGGTCTGGTGCAGAATGGATGGGATGCCTGAGGCAGCATTGCTCCTAACCTGCCCCACATAGAGGCAGGAGGGGCCGAGCCTACCAGGCAGCAGGACAGGGACATCCACGGCAGGGTTAGCAGGGGCTGCACACAAGCTCCATACCAGGCCACGTGGGTCAAGCTCGTATCAGATGAAACCCAACCAATGCTGGACACCTGGAACCTAATGTTTATTAATTTTTTATTTATTTTATTTACTTAGTTAGATGGAGTCTTGCTCTGTCACCCAGGCTGGAGTGCAGTGACACTATCTCGGCTCACTGCAAATTCCACCTCCTGGATTCAAGTGACTCTCCTGTCTCAGCCTCCCAAGTAGCTAAGATTGCAGGTGCGCACCACCACACCGGCCTAATTTTTGTATTTTTAGTAGAGATGGGATTTCACCATGTTGGCCAGGCTGGTCTCTGACTCCTGACCTCAGGTGATCTACCCACCTTGGCCTGCCAAAGTGCTGGAATTACAGGTGTGAGCCACCATGCCTGGCCAATGTCTATCAATTTAGTGAGAAAGTTAGAAGAATCTGATATGTCCCCATGTCAAATCATGATTTTGATAGAAGTTTCATTTAATTGCTGATAAAATGATTTGATAAACAATTTATGTTACAGCTTACATTAGTTATAAGGACTTTATGATTTGTATAGTTTAGCTAGATATTAAATGGGTTTTTAATATTTTTTCTTTTCTTAATTTCTTTACTTCCCAGGAATAGAGGTAAATGGGGTTTTATTTTTAGTTTTTCATTTAACTGTTAGTTGATATGTTAATTTATAGTATCATCCCAGTAGTTCAGTATATTTTTAGTATCACCTCAAAGTAAAGGTATTAACTTTACATATACACATACTAAGGTAATCAATCAAGGCATATATATAAGAAAAATTATTTAGAAGCTAGTAGAAAAAGAAAAATGAAATGAGAAAAATAAAAAACAAAGAACTGCTCAGTACCCTGGACCAGGAAAGTCTTGTTTGCTGAGGCCACAAAAGCTCAGTAACCAATTCAAGCCGCACACCAGGAGGAGAGCATGGGGCAGGGGAATAGAGTCCTGGGGGCCTCAGGAGCCCTAGATCACCTGGTTTAACAGTCAGGGTCATATGGTCATTCTCTAGGGAAGGTTCCAGAGTAAAACAGAGTAGAGGGATGAGGTGCAAGACAGCTCTGGGACTCTAGAGGTCCATTTAGAAAGGAAGAGATTGAGGAGAGGAAACTGATGGCTGAAACAAGAAGCTGGGACAAGTTACTTGTTGTAATATTACAATACACCTAGCAATATACATACAGAGTAATAAACAGCCACTACCACAACTGGCCTGCCTCTTCCACAAGTGAGACTATGACCAGGGCTCTCCAGGTAATCTGTCAAAAAGAGAGGGACTTGCCCAATGGAGTCAGTGGGCTCACCTCTGTTGTAGCTGTGCCCATGACCGGCAGCAAAAGAATTTGTCATGCCTCAGCCTGGCATGCTCAGGGCTGCACCACCACTCCCTGCTCTAACCAGGGTCTTCCAGGAGAAACCTCATGCAGCTAAGGTCTGCAGCCAGAATATACCACCGGGGCCCAAGGGGACAAAGTCTGCCTTCAGCTCCTGCTTCAGGCACCCCCTCAGTCCCTGCTCTCAGGTGGATGACCTGGTCCTCTCCATTGTGAGGACTCCTAAACCATGCCCTGGTCAGTATCCTACGTCCATCACGTGGGTCTGGGAAATGAAATTTGTCCAAGGAATTACAGGCATCTAGCTTAAGCCTGCTGGGCTGACAGCCAAATCAGAATAGGAATGAATTCACTGAGCTTGTGGCACTGTCTTTTGAAGACTCCTGGAACTTGGCTAATAACTGTGAACAATAACTAAGCACCCTGTGCCAGGTGCCATGCAAGGTAGTTCGATATATATTAATATCATCTCTATTTTCATAATGAGCCAGGATATTAGGCACTAGTTTTCCCTTGGTGTACCAGTGAGAAAACTGAAGCCAAGAGAGGTGAAGACCCTCTTCCAGAGTTGTGAGTCTATCCCAAGCCCGATTTATCCCAGGCTAAGAGCTACACCCCTACCCCTCCCCAGTCCTGCCAAAGCCCATGTCCTACCAGCCTTTCCTAGACCAAATTCTGAGCCTCAGCTTGTGGCCAGATAGTACTTACTTCCTTTGGATTCTGTATACCAAGCTTGTACAACTTGCAGCTTGTGGGCCACACGCAGCCCAGGATGGCTTTTAATGCAGCCCAATGTGAATTTGTAAACTTTCTTAAAACATTATGAGACTTTCTTGCAAATATTTTAAAGCTTATCAGCTAACATTAGTATTAGTATATTTTATGTGTGTGGTCCAAGACAATCTTCTTCTTCCAGTGTGGCCCAGGGAAGCCAAAAGACTGGACACCCCTGCCACAGAACAAGAGGCAGAATGCACAGAGGCCGCTTTTAGCTGGCCATGCTCATGCCCAGCCAGGAAACCAATCCCTGGGGCCAGTCAGGGCCCCTTCCAGAAATTCTTGCTGCCTGCACACTGGTTAGCTGAAAAATAAATAGAAGCAATCTATTACTATCTCTGCATCTATGTTTCACCCCTGTAGACTTGAGGTCCCAGTTAGGGACAGCCACTTAGTCGAGTTATAGCCAAACACCTGTGCCATTACTGCCAAGGAGTAGCAGCTTCCTGAGTGGGAGGCTCAGCTTGCCTCCTGCCAAGACCCACACAGTGCTAGGATGAGGAAGCTCTTCCTAAAAGTAAGAGTTTGAATGGTGGGAGGCCAAACACCTGACCAATATAGGCTATTCCTGGTCATTCCATTTTCCCACTGCCCCTTCCTCCTCCTTGTTCTTTACCTGCCTAGAGTCAAACCTGCCAGCATCACCCAGTGGTCTCTCATAGCAAATCCATACCAGCACAGGCAACCGAAAGTTCGATATCTTTCTCAGCTTCCGGGCCAGGGGCTGGGCTTGTGTACAAGCTTGGGTCAGGGTATTCTTTGAGCTCCCTCTTAGGAGCTCAGCGCTCCTTAGTGCTCCCACATACTGGTAGAATCTCCCGCAGCCTCCAAACACCCCAGCCCTAGAAATATTCTTCCCCATGCTGGGTGTTCTAATCTGTTCAGGCTGCTGTAACGAAATACCATAAGCTAAGTAGCTTATAAATAACAGAAATTTGTTTCTCACAGATCTGGAGCCTGGTAAGTCCAAGATCAAGGCACCTGCAGATTCAGTATTGGTGAAGGCCCTCTTCCTCATAGATGGAGCCTTCTAGCTGTGTCCTCACAGGGTGGAAGGGGCAAGCAAGCTCCCATGAGTCTCTTTTATAAGGGCACTAATCACAATCATGAGAATTCCACCCCCATGACCTAATCACCTCCCATAAAACCTTCACCTCTTAATACCATCGCCTTGGGGGTTAGAATTTCAACATATGGATTGTAGAGGGACACAGATATTCAAGACCATAGCACTGGGCTCCCCCAAGAAGGTACCTGAGCCTAAGCCCTGGGATCCTGTGGTGCCAGCAAATCGTGACTCAGTGACAACACTAAATCTGTGTCTCTTGGAATGGGCATGGTAGCTTACACCTGTAATCCCAGCACTTTGGGAGGCTGAGGCAGGTGGATCACCTGAGATCAGGAGTTCGCGACCAACCTGGCCAACATAGTGAAACATCATCTCTATTAAAACTACAAAAATTAGCTGGGCATGGCGGCAGGCACCTGTAGTGCCAGCTACTTAGGAGGCTAAGGCAGGAGAATCACTTGAACCCGGGAAGCAGAGGTTATAGTGAATCGAGATCATGCCGTTGCACTCCAGCCTTGGTGACAAGAAACTGTCTCAAAAAAATATCAATAAAAATACACCTGTGCCTCTTGAATCCATTCTTTGACAGGGGGCCACATTGATACATCCCTGTTCCAAGTAGCCCACTTTAAAGAGGAGGGGATGCTCCTGGAGAAGCCAGCCAAGGTGGAGCTGCATCACATAGTTCTGGAAGACCCCAGCTTCTCCCCCATGGGAGTCCTCCTAAGAGTGATCCATAATGCCCTGCGCATCTTTCCCGTCACCTCGATGGTGCTGCTCTACCACCGCATCCATCCTGAGGAAGTCACCTTCCACCTGTACCTGATCCCAAGTGACGGCTCCATTCGGAAGGTGACACTAAGAACCAGAAAGGCTGGGCCATGGTGGGTTGATGCTAAACACAAAATGCAGCCAGAGAGCCCCCTAGAGCATCTTCAACTGGGACTAAGGATAGGCCTCTTGTACATGAGAACCTTGAAGTGGGTGAACAGTCCATCCCTTCTCAGTCATGGACTGGTCTCCTGCCTCCCCGAGGTCTCCCCCAGAACTTTGGACGGTTTCTTGCAGCCCCTCTCCAGGAATCAAAGGATTGGAGGCCTCCATGCCTAAACCTTTCCCCATTCTAACTTCTCTAACAGCCGTATTCCCATCCTGAAGATAACAAAGACCAAGTGCGGGCTGTCTCGGTAGCAGTGCATGTGGGGACGGAGGCAGGGCTGATAGAGCCCCACTCTGTCCACCCAAATACACCGATGCACCATCCCACCTATTCAGACAACATTTCACTGGGCAGAAGCCTCCCCTAATCATTTTTCCCTATGTTCTGTAGGCCGTAGATGATGAAGAAACGAAGTTCCAGTTTGTGCGACTACACAAGCCACCCCCGCTGACCCCACTTTATATGGGCTCTCGTTATGCTGTGTCTGGTTCAGAGGAGCTGGAAATAATCCCCGAGGTGAGCAGCCCAGTGTCTGCCTCTTCACTGTGAACGTAAGTCCTACTTGGAATGCCTGTGGGGCAGGTCTCAGGGCTTTCCCAGGGACAGGATAAATTGAGGTTGAACAGAAAGTGAGTGTGATTTAGGGAAAGTGGGAATGCTTCCAAGACTGAAAGAAAGTTCAGAGAAGGGAGGATCACATGCAGGATAAGAAGATGATGGGGTTTGACTTGGGGTCACTGGGAAGTGTTTGGGCTATAGGTCGTCAATGTCCTCCAGTCAAGACCACCAGGGACACACCTGTAGTTGAACACACTGTGTTTATTACTCATTGCAGTGACAAAACACATATTAGGGGAACCATGAGATGTCTCAGTAGAGGGTGTTATCATCTGCTATAGGATTTGGGCCTTGGTTGCATATGTTGGAGGAAGATCTAAGGAAACAAAGATTTTCTTTAGATTGGCTGTTGGTTCAGGCCACATGGAGATTTGTGGAAGAGTATTTCAGGCAGAAGGAATGTGTGAGAGGCATAGAGTTGGGAGCAAGCTTGACACCTCCAGATGACAAAAAAAGAGGTCAGTATAGCAAGAGATGAGTCAGATCAGAGGCAGAATCTTCCCAGGCCTCATCTGCCCTGTTGGCCCTGGTGTGCAGTTTGGACTTTGTTCTAAGTGCAATGGCAAGTTCTTGTGGCTTGTAAACATGGTAAAACAAGACCTGATTTATAGCCAAGCACAATGGCTCAGGCCTGTAATCCCAGCACTTTGGGTACCAAGATGGGAGGATCACTTGAGGTCAGGAATTCAAAACCAGCCTGGCCAACATGGTGAAATCCTGTCTCTACTAAAAGTACAAAAATTAGCGGAGTGTAGTGATGTCCCTGTAATGCCAGCTGCTAAGTTGGCTGAGGAAGGAGAATCACTTGAACCTGGGAGGCAGAGGTTGCAGTGAGCCGAGATTTCACCACTGCACTCCAGCCTAGGTGACAGAGCAAGACTGTTCAAAAAAAAGAAAAAAAAAATGAGACCTGGTTTGCTTTCATAAAGATGCCTCTGGCTGCTGGGTGAGAATGAAGGATAAGTAGGCAGGCAAGAGTGAAAGGAGGGAGACAAGTCAAAAGGCTGTTATGCACAGGCGTGGTGGCTCATGCCTGTAGTCCCAGCACTTTGGGAGGCTGAGGCTGGTGGATCACCTGAGGTCAGGAGGTCAAGACCATCCTGGCTAACATGGCGAAACCCCGTCTCTACTTAAAATACAAAAAATTAGCAGGGCATGGTGGCAGTCACCTGTTATCCAGCTACTCAGGAGGCTGAGGCAGGAGAATTGCTTGAGCCCAGGAGGCAGAGCCCCACTGCACTGCAGCATGGGCTACAATAGCGAAACTCTGTCTTAAAAAAGAAAAAAGGCCAGGCATGGTGGCTTACGCCTGTAATCCCAGCACTATGGGAGGCTGAGGTGGGTAGATCACCTGAGGTCAGGAGTTCAAGACCAGCCTGGCCAACATGGTAAAACCCAGTCTCTACTAAAAATGCAGAAATTAGCTAGGCATGGTGGCAGGCACCTGTAAACCCAGCTACTCAGGAGGCTGAGGCAGAAGAATTGCTTGAACCCAGGAGGCGGAGGTTGCAGTGAGCTGAGATCACACCACTGCACTCCAGCTTGGGCCACAGACCAAGACCCTGTCTCCAAAACAAATAAACAAAAAAGGCTGTTGTGATTGGGTACAGTGACTCACACCTGTAATTCCAACATTTGGGAGGCCAAGGTGGGAGAATTGCTTGAGGCCAGGAGTTTAAGTCCAGCCTGGGCCATGTAGGGAGAACTCATCTCTATGAAAAATGGAAGAATAAGATGGGTATGGTGGCACACACCTGTAGTCCCAGCTACTTAGGAGGCTGAGGCAAGAGATTGCTTGAGCCCAGGAGTTCAAGTCCAGCCTAGGCAACATGGAAAAACCTCATCTCGCTTTAAAAAAGGAGAGAGAGAGACGAAAAAAAAAAGGAAAAGACTGTTGCAATACTGCAAGCTACAGTTGAAGGTCACTTGACTAGGAAGGTAGCGAGGGAGATGGAGAAAAGTTTGTCAATTCAAGGTTGATTTTGAAGGTAGAGCCAACAGGACCTCCTGGATTGCCCGTGTAGGGAAGGAGTTAAGAATGATTCCTAGTTTGGAGCCTGCATGTTCAGGGGATGGTCCTATCCTTTACTGAGTTTGGGGAAACTGGAAAGGGAGCATATTTGGAGGACAGTGGGGAATCAAGAGTTCTGTCTTAGGTGTGATTTAGGAAAGGGGATGGATATAAATGTTTGTCAATTGAAAGTGGGTTGAGTTTAGGATCTTTGGGGTAGATAGGCTTTGGGCTGGAGAAATGAGGGTTTGGATTCAAGATGGGGTAGGTTGAGGAAGGAGGATCTCACTTAGGATGATGAGCACTACTTTTAAGGAGAAGCCCTGACTCACCCATGCAGTACCCAGTTGTGTCCTCATCCTTCTGTGGAAAATTGGGAAAAGAGCAGTGTCTGAAGGTGATGATTGATTTCAATACAGGGATCATCGGAGTGTCCCTATGGAGCTAAGCAGGGCCAAGAAGGTGTCAGGTGGGGAAAAGCCTCCCATGCCAGATGAACAGGGTGGCAACTCAACTCTTTGCCTCTTCAGGAACTGGAGCTCTGCTATCGAAGCCCTGGAGAACCCCAGCTGTTCTCCGAGTTCTATGTTGGCCACTTGGGATCAGGGATCAGGCTGCAAATGAAAAACAAGACAGATGAGACTTTGGTGTGGGAGGCCTTGGTGAAACCAGGTAAAACCAGGACACGTCCAGAGGGCTCAGAGGTGGGAGGAGAAAGAAAGTCAATGAAAGAGAGAGTGAGAGAGAGAGAGAGAGAGTGTGTGTGTGTGTGTGTGTGTGTGTGTGTGTGTGTGTGTTTGTGTTTGTGTCTGTCAGTGGGCATTATCAATTTATTGATGAGAAGAAGTAGCCCCCAGGAGTTAGGTGGCTTTCTCAAGTTACATAACAGTTGTTATGACTAGAATTTAAACTTCAGTCCACCTGACCCTCTAAAATGTGTGCTCTTTCCCATGTGCAATGATGTCTTCATAGTGCCCTTGAATTAACAGATGTCGACATCCACAAAGCTTTTGGCTAAGTTTCTCATGATAGCTTGGATGTGAGGTGAAAGAATAAGACCTAGATACTTATATGGTTGTATGGATTAAGCTGATTTGACAATTTCAGATACTCTCCACTGTATCGCTCAGTATTTTCAAGGAAGACGAGGAAATCAAATAATAAATTTTCTGGAATGGAGAAAACTTATGGACTCTTAGTCTAGTACTAACGCCCTAAGAACCCAAACCCCCAAACAGTCCTTCTAGGACAAGCAGCCCTAGTCAGCTGTCAAAAAATGGTGAAGCGGCCGGGCGCGGTGGCTCAAGCCTGTAATCCCAGCACTTTGGGAGGCCGAGGCGGGTGGATCACGAGGTCAAGAGATCGAGACCATCCTGGTCAGCATGGTGAAACCCCGTCTCTACTAAAAGTACAAAAAATTAGCTGGGCATGGTGGCGCGTGCCTGTAATCCCAGCTACTCAGGAGGCTGAGGCAAGAGAATTGCCTGAACCCAGGAGGCGGAGGTTGCGGTGAGCCGAGATTGCGCCATTGCACTCCAGCCTGGGTAACATGAGTGAAACTCCGTCTCAAAAAAAAAAAAAAAAAAAAAAGGTGAAGCCATTCTGAACTACAATAAGCTGGCTTCGCAGTGCAGTGGAAAGAGGGTGGGCGTTACTGAGTCCTAGCCTGGGTGCAACCACCGATGGAGAACTAGCCCACCCTAACTTCAGACCTGGGTTCAAATCCCACTCTGGCACTTATTTGCTGGGTGACCTTGGGAAAATTACTTAATTGATTTGAGTCCCTCTACTGTAAAGTGACGAACATAATGACTAATTTGTAGAAATGTTGGAAAGATTAAATAAAGCAATGACTATACATGCCTCATGCAGTAATCCTCAACAAATCATAGCAATATTATCTTTTCCCTCATGTTAGGCCAATCTCTGCCTCTTATCATTCTTAATTCTGTCCCTTGGAACTCAGAAAAAGTCTATTTCCTTCCCCATGAGAAAGCCATTGAGAATCTTGGAGACTGTGGTTATAGCCTTCCTGATGACTCTTGTTGTACAAATTAGACATCTCCAGCTGCTTCCATCGTTCCTCTTCCATTTTGATTTGTAAATTCCTTTTTTTTTGAGACAACAGTCTTCCTCTGTTGTCCACACTGGAGTGCAGTGGCACAATCTCGACTCACTGCAACCTCTGCCTCCCGGGTTCAAGCAATTCTCCTGCCTCAGCTTCCTGAGTAGCTGGGTCTACAGGTGCGCACCACCACGCCCGGCTAACTTTTTTTTTTTCTATTTTTAGTAGAGACAGGGTTTCACCATATTGCTCAGGCTAGTCTTGAACTCTTGACCTTGTGATCCACCCACCTTGGCCTCCCAAAGTGCCAGGATTTCAGGCATGAGCTACTGTGCCCGGCTGGTTTGTAAATTCTTTGCCATCCAGTCACCTTTCTCAGTAGATGCTCCAGTGTGAGAATGAGTCAGAATTGACCCCTAGACTGTCCAGGCAGCAGAAAGGATGTGAAACACCCTCTTTTCTCCACCCACATGGATCCGGTGTTCCTGGTATCACAACCTGAACTCCCTCCTCTGTACCCACCTTCTGCACCATGAGATCATACTGAACTTGGAGCCTGTTCAAACTCTCAGGCTTTGTACATATGAGCTGCTGTGACCTTCATTTTTGTTATCTGCTTTTTTTCTGTTAAAATTCATTTGTTATTCCCATGTCCGAAGATTGCTTGATGTTGATTCTAGATTCTGACATCCAATTCCAGAACATACACCTTTGGTCGGTGCCAGTCTAGAAGGCTAAAAAAAAGAACAAGGAAGTAGATTTCCACTAGAACAAGGAGGTGCTAAATAGTTCTAGCAAGGGGTTTGGTTAGTTCACCAGGGATACAGTTCAGACCAACACTGGATCAAACCAAGTCTGGGATGTTGTAGGAGAAATTGCTATTGCTCATTTGGATGCCTTCTCTCTATTACTCTATGATCACAACTTCTGGGCCTCAGTCTCCCCATATGCATAAGGAAGGGATTCACCTAGATAACCTCTAAGGACCCTTCCAGCCCTTACTCCAGACCCTATCAGAATTTGTCTGTAGCTTCTTCTAAATCAAAGATCTCAACCAGGTGCAGTGGCTCATGCCTGTAATCCCAGCACTTTGGGAGGCTGAGGTGGGTGGATCACAACCTCAGGAGTTCAAGAGCAGCCTGGCCAACATAATGAAATCCTGTCTCTACTGAAAATACAAAAAATTAGCCAGGCGTGGTGGCACATGCCTGTAATCCCAGCTACTTGGGAGGCTGAGGCAGGAGAATCGCTTGAATCTTGGGGAGCAGAGGTTGCAGTGAGCTGAGATTGCACCATTGCACTCCAGCCTAGGTGAAGAGCGAGGCTCTCTCAAAAAAAAATCTCAGAAGTGATTGGGAGTTTGGAGGTGTATCGTGTGTTAATAACTTAGCACTGTTACAGATGAATCTTCATCTCTGTTTTCCTCCAGGAGATCTCACACCTGCAACTACTCTGGTCCCTCCAGCCCCCAAAGGTCAGTAACAGCTCTCAGAGACCACAGGAGGCAGTGGCAGTCTGGTTCTGGGGGGAAAGGAAGAGAGAAAGGAAGGGACTCATCAATGCAGACCTCACAAGGGGTCAGGCTCTGGAGAGCGGTGCATGGTCCCTCCCCATAACCCCTTGTCCTATCCATAGAGGCCCTAGAACTCCACACCTGAGAGCCTCTAGTGCCCCCATCAGGAACCCAACTTCCAATCCCCACTCTAGCAGAATGCCAGACTAGATGCTGACATGAAGGAAGATAGAGGTGCATTTCTGGAGACAAAAGGAAGCAAGGGATGCAGAAAAGAGAGAGAAAAGCACGGAATATGGGGATTGGAGGTGGAGGCTGTGGTCAGAGCCCGTCTTTGTTCATTGCCAGCCTTACCTTCCCCTCTGGATGCCCTGGGGTTGCTGCACTTCGTGGACCAGTATCGAGAGCAGCTGGTGGCCCGAGTGACATCAGTGGAACCTGTCTTGGACAACCTGCTTGGACATGTGCTGAGCCAGGAGCAGTACGAGGGGGTGCTGGCCGAGGACACCAGGCCAAGCAAGATGCGGAAGCTGTTCAGCTTCAGCCAGTCCTGGGACAGGAGCTGCAAAGATCGACTCTACCAAGCCCTGAAGGAGACCCATCCTTACCTCATTATGGAACTCTGGGAGAAGGGCAGCAAAAAGGGACTCCTGCCACTCAGCATCTGAGGCATGAACACCAGCCCTTGAGTCCTGGCTTTGCTTGACCCTTCTTTGGGTCTGTTTCTTTCTCTGCAAACAAGTTGCCATCTGATTTGCCTTCCAGCACTAGAGTAGTGGAACATTGATGATGCCTTTGCTGGGCATTATATGTCCATGCCAGGGATGCCACATGGGGCCCCAGTCCAGGTGGCCTAACAGCATCTCAGGGAATGTCCATCTGGAGCTGGCAGGACCCCTGCAGACCTCATAGAGCCGCATCTGGTGGCCATAGCAGCCAAGCCTAGAGCCCTCCGGATCCCATCCAGATGCAAGGAGGAATAGAAGGGACATGGAAACTTTTGCCTCTGGCTATGTCACAGGATGAGTCCCAAAACTGGGGTTCAGCATGGGAGGCCACGTGGATTACTGGCTTCTCGCAGGAAGATATACAAGAGCAAGCCGACAGAAAAGTGGAAGGAAGTTTATTAAGAAAATAAAGGAGTGTTACAGCGCTTTTAGAATTTGTCTAGCAGGCTTTCCAGTTCTTACCAGAAAAACCCTCAGGCCACACACCCATCAGGCTGGCCTTGTCCTTCAGGTCCTTCATGCCCCACCCACCCATCTCCTTTAGCACACACACACCTCTGCTCTCCACATAACCCTCCCTCCAAGAAGAAGTGAGTTCCCTCATTTTTGTCACATTTGCTCCTCCCTGTGCTGCCCATGGAAAATTAGGACACTTCACACAAACACCTGGGTGGGGTCACTACCTAGCCCCACCCTCTCCCCATCTTCAGCCAGCCAGGAACTCACCTGGACTAGATTGCTGAAAACCACAGTGATATTCCACAGGCCCCAAACTGTGGGTTCCCTGGAACCAACACCTTCTGAACCATACAACAATAGACAGTCCCAAAACTCAGATTCAGCAAAATGCATCTTCAAAAGATCTTACTACCTTTTTCTTTCCAGACCCCAACGGTTATCAGGAGGACTGAGCCAAGTTGTTTAAGGAAGAAAGAGAAAGAACCACACACCCAAGTGAAGATACACTTGATCAAGCTGCATTTTATCCATAATGCCAGCAGGAGGCCTTTGCTATCCCCAGTGCTCTATAGACACAAACCCAGTGAATCTGCACAGGGACACCAGGAGGAGATGCTGTTATCAGCCCACTTGACAGATGATGCACACACAGGTCAAGTAATCTGCTCAGAGTCCCACATTTGGTAAGAGCCCTTGCTGGGAGTCAAAACCGGGCAGTCCAGATCATTTAACTGCTCTACTAGATGACTCTCCAGTGCCCCACCTTTATGTGATGTGGGTGCCACTGTCCCTGCTTGAGCAGGAGAGTCACTGTGCCCCTCAACAGCTCACCTGAGGCTGGAAGGTACTGATAACACACTCAGCAGAGAGGGCAGGTCCAGGCATCAGGCCACAGGCCCAAGGGCAGCATCTAAAGGAGGGAGAGTCCCCAGGCAGCAATGTCCCAAGGCCAACACTGGGCATGTGGCTGAGAAAGGATGAAGGATCTGATGGGCTTTCATTATGGAGCACTAGTGATGCTTTGAGCCATTTTTCTATTCATTGCCTGTCTTCTCTATTGGGCTATGAGCTCTGAAATTGCAGTATCCACATCTTCCCTGTTCACAGCTACATCCATAAGCCCTGGCACAATGTAAGTATTCAGTAAGCTTTTGTATATTAGGCTGGGCACAGTGGCTCAGGCCTGTAATCCCAGCACTTTGGGAGGCCAAAGCACCCACACAGTGCTAGACAATGAGGCTCATCCTGAAAAGAAGAGTTTGAATGATGGGAGGCCAAACACCTGACCAATGTAGGCCACTCTTGATCACTCCATTTTCCCACTGCCCCTTCCTCCTCCTCGTTCTCTACCTGCCCAGAGTCAAACCTGCCAGCATCACCCAATGGTCTCTCAGAGTTACAGAATCCACACCAGCACAGGCAACCAAAGGTTCGATATCTTTCCCAGCTCCAGGGCCAGGGGCTGGGCCTGTGTATGAGTTTGACTTAAGGGAGTTCCTGAGATGCAGCCACCTTAGAGAATTTCTCACGACCTCCAAAGGCCCCAGGCCCAGGCATATCCCCTTCTCCGTGCTGGGTGTCTTAGTCCATTCAGGCTCCTATAAGAAAATACCATTAACTGGGTGGCTTATGAATGACAAATGTTTATTTGTTTATTTCTCACAGTTCTTGAGAGTATTTAGACCAAGAACAAGGTGCTGGCAGATTCAATGTCTAGCCAGGGCCCTCTTCCTCATAGATGTCACCTTCTAGCTGTGCCTTTACAGGGCAAAGGAGCAAACAAGCTCCCTTGGGTCTTTTTATAAGGGCACTGATCCCATTCATGAGAATGCATGCTCAGTGGACGGTACCACCCTTTACTGACTTTGGGGAAACTGGAGAAGGAGCTGGCAAAACTGAAGAGGGGTTTTTGGACTTGCCAGCCTATATAATCATGTCAGCCAATTCTTAAACATAAATGTCTCAATATATATACACATCCTATTGGTTCTTTTTCTCTGGAGAAGGCTGACTAATACAATGTTGCCATTAGGGTTAATGAGTTAACATACTGAACACTTTATATATATTATAAATGGTCTCATCCTGACCTTCACAGCACTGGAATGCCTCACATATCAGCTGAGGGAACTGAAATCCTGGAAGAAGTAACACTGCCTTCTGGCAGATACAAGGAGGAATAGGAGGGACATGGGACCCTTTGCCTCTGGCTGGAGACAGAAAATGGAAATGAACATGTGTCCTTGTGAGATCTGGATGGCTTATGAATGGAGGCAGAGGGAGAGATTTAGTTTTCACTTGTTATTCTGCCCAGCCACCCCAGAAGCAGCATGAGGGGAATTCCCACAAGGGACTACTTCAAACCATACCAAGATGGGGCTGGCCGGGATTCCAAAGATGGAAGCACTAAATTCAGGGTGATCAGTTCAAAGCCTTTAATAGGCGATCTGACACAGAGAGTGGAGTACAATGTATCTCTGAGACTAACAGCAAGAGAAAAGGGATTCCACGGAGATATTTCTGCAGCAAGAGGGTCAGGCATGGAGTTTATAGGAGGCTCAGGGCTACCACCAGTTTCCTTCAGTGTTTTGGGCAACAACCTAGATACCTTTGTCAGTGTCTGAGAATGTTCAAGGCCTGGGTTTGGGTTCAAGCCTGCTGGGAAAAACCAGCAGCTGGCTGGGTCACAGCATAGTTAAGGCACTCTGTGATTTCAGTTAGGTCACAGAAACAAAGCAGGGGTAAAGGGGCATAGGGATCCTATCCACCTTCTGGACCTTCTGACTTTTTTGCTTACATCACATTGCCAGCATGTTCAGTAATGTGGCTGACTGTGGGAATCTTCCTCTAGAGACCAAAGTGTTCCTGAACTTTTGTATCTCAGCTCTTATAATAAAAGTGGAGTCTAGCAGGATACACACACTTTGAGAAAAATGTTCTTTACCTAAGATCCAGGTAATTGTGGCTTTTCTCTGGTCTCAGGTAGGATAAGCTTATGTAGAAAGCATAAACAAGGCCAGGAACAGTGGCTGATGCCTTTAATACCAGCACTTTGGGAGGCCAAGGTGGGTGGATCACCTGAGGTTAGGAGTTCGAGACCAGCCTGGCCAACATGGAGAAACCCCATCTCTACTAAAAATACAAAAATTAGCCAGGTGTGGTGGCCTGTGCCTATAGTCCCAGCTACTCAGGAGGCTGAGGCAGGAGAATCAATGAACCTGGGAGGCGGAGGTTGCAGTGAGCCAAAATTGTGCCATTGCACTTCAGCCTGTGCAACAAGGGTGAAACTCCATCTCAAAAAAGAAAGAGAAAAAGAGGAAAAAAAAATAAAAAAAAAAAAAAAGGGGGGGGGGGGGGGGGGGGGAAACAGTTTAGGCCAAGACCCTGGCTTTTCATTTCAAAAACAAGAAAATTATGCATAATGAACTTGCAGATTTGAATGGATTTCAGGTCAGCTGCCTGGGTCAGCAGTTTTCTGCTAAATGTGGCAGGTGTACAACCTGCATCTGAATTTGATGTCCTCAGCTCTCTTAAGAGAGAAAAAAAAAATACCCTATTTGTTTTAGACCTTCTTTCTTCTCCAAATAGCCAAGGCTCCTCATGGAAGTCCCTCAGAAGCATGGGAGAGTCCTCTTAGGACTAACCTATTTGCTTCTGTTGCCTGCACTGCACATCACATTGCACAGCATAGTGTAATTAGTTGACTCTAGCTTATTCCATTCTCAAGATAAAACCCTGAATCTCTCTAGAGGAAGCTCTGATTCTCTCCTGTGATCAGGAAGTTGCAAGTACAGTCTGGTAGCTCAGGGCCTTCCCAAGGAACTATCCAAGTTTTAGCTCCCAGCTGGAGGTGAAATGATTGTTGGGGCCACAACACTGAGACTCATTGCAGGCAGGGTATATGGGGGTTGCCTCCAACTTCCTGCCGTACCACCTCTAAGGAGTGCCCAACTTTTTGTGGGGAAACTCAAATGGCCCTCCTTTGCTGAGGGCATGGGGGTATTTTTAATGAACTGGGGGGGTGGGTAGTCAGGGAGCGAGAGTGCACAGGCATCCTTGAAGCTGAACCGAGACGTGTGAACACTTAAGTGATAGCCTGCTAGTATGGCCATCAGGGCCTTCCTTGTTCTAAAGGTGTTCAATATATTCACTCATTAACCCTAAGGGCAACACTGTATTAGTCAGGGTTCTCCAGAGAAAAAGAACCAATAGGATGTCTATACATATTGAGACATTTATTTTTAGGAATTGGCTGACATGATTATATAGGCTGGCAAGTCCAAAATCTGTAGAATAGGCTGGCAGGCTGAAGACCCAGGGAAAAGCTGATGCTGCAGTTCAAGCCCAAAAGCCTTAAAAAAGCTGGAAGAATTCTCTGTAGCCTTCAACTGTTTGGATGAAGCCCACCCACACTGAAAAGGGCAATTCACTCTACTCAAAGTCCACCAATTTGTGGCCGGGAGCAGTGGCTCACGCCTGTAATCCCAGCACTTTGGGAGGCTGAGGCGGACAGATCACCAGCTCAGGAGATGGAGACCATCCTGGCCAACATGGTAAAACCTCGTCTCTACTAAAAATACAAAAATTAGCAGGGCATGGGGGTGTGTGCCTCTAATCCCAGCTACTCGGGAGGCTGAGGCAGGAGAATTGCTTGAACCAGGGAGTCAGAGGTTACAGTGAGCTGAGATGGTGCCACTGCACTCCAACTCCAGCCTGAGCGACAGAATAAGACTCTGTCTCAAAAAAAAAAAAAAAAAGTCAACCAATTTAAATGTTAATCTTGAATAAAACTAGAATTTTTTTTTAACAAGAGGAATTTTGGAAACTGTACAAACATTAAAATTAAATGATATGACCCTGAATGACCAGTGGGTAAATGATGAGATTAAGAAGGAAGTTAAAAAATTTCTTGAAACCAATGATAATGGAAACACAACATACCAAAATCTATGGGATACAGCAAAAGCAATACTAAAAGAGAATTTTACAGCTATCAGCATCTACAGCAAAAAAAGAAAAACATCAAATAAATAAGCTAATAACAAATCTTAAAGAACAAAAAAGCAAGAGTAAACCAAACCCAAAATCAGTAAAGAAAAGAAATAATAAACAGCAGAAATAAAATTCAGACAAAGTACAAATGATCAACAGAACAAAAAGTTGTTGTTTTGAAAAGATAAACAAATTGACAAAACCTTAGCCTGATTAACAGACTAAGAAAAATAGAAAAGAACCAAATAAATGAAATCAGAGATTCAAAAGGAGACATTACAACTGATACTGCAGAATTTCAAAGAATCCTTGGTGGCTACTCTGAGCAACTAAATGCCAATAAACTGGAAAATCTAAAAGAAATGGATAAATTCTTAAGTACAATCAACCTACCAAGATTGAACCATGAAGAAACCCAAAACCTGAACAGACTTATAATAAGTAACAAGATCTAAGCTATAATAAAATGTCTCCCAGCAAAGAAAAGCCCAGGACCTGATGGCTTCACTGCTGATCTCTAAAGAATTAATACCAATTCTACTCAAACTATTCTGAAAAAATAAAAGAGAAGGGAATACTTCCAAACTCATTCTCTGAGGTCAGTATTATCCTGACACCAAAACCAAAGACGCATCAAACCATGAAAACTGCAGGCCAACATTGATGCAAAATCCGCAACAAAATCGTGGCAAACTGAATCCAACAACACATTTTAAAAAATCATTCCTCAGCCAGGCACGGTGGCACACACCTGTAATCCCAGCACTTTGGGAGGTCGAGGTGGGCAGATCACCTGAAGTCAGGAGTTCAAGACCAACCTGACCAACATGAAGAAACGCCATCTCTACTAAAAATACAAAATTAGCCGGGTGTGGTGGCACATGCCTGTAATCCCAGCTACCTGGGAGGCTAAGGTAGGAGAATCCCTTGAAGCCGGGAAGCGGAGGTTGCAGTGAGCTGAGATCACACCATTGCACTTTAGCCTGGGCAACAAGAGTGAAACTCCATCTCAGAAAAGAAAAAAAAAAAA